CCTTGACCCCAAGTACAGTGTAGCAATGAGTTAATACCAATCTTACATTACACTGTATTTATAGAAACGATCAATTATACAGTAATAGGGTCACTTGAATGTAAAGTTTGATAAACATTTTTCCAAAACTGGATAGGCATTGTTGCCACATACATTGGTGATCCTGCAAGATTGGAATCAATCCAAGAGAAATCTGGTGACATGATTTGGCATAGAGACCTAAAACAATGCAAATGTGCAAAACATGCTAACGTTACACTTTAAAATAACAAAAACACACCAACTATGTGGATTAACAATATTATAATGGTCGAAAATATAGGGTGCTGTCAGTTACAGAAGCTATTTTTCTCGCAACAATGTTGCAAGTAAAACTAGCACATGAAACATTTCATCTTCCAGAGATGGATGTCGTGTTCGAGAAATTCACAGCTGTAACCATGTTGCTATACTGCATAAAAATGTGGCCAACAAAATAATGCAACATTCACGCGCCATATGGGAACTCTGGAAAATATGGTTACAGTAGCTAGATAGTTCGACTTGGTAGATTTTGAGATGTCAATAGAGGCACACTAGATGCCAATAGAGATGTCAATAGAGGCTATTATTTTAACATTTAGCGTGCTATAAAAGTACAGAAAACGACTTGTTGCGGTGTTCTTTGACAAGTTTATAGACATGTGCAAGTTCGTACTGCGTTGTATGCATAGCGCACTTGAAGCTCTTCCACCATTTTCCTGTTCAGTGGCTAGCACTGGAAATGTAAGAACTTGAAAAACTCACCCGCAGATATTTCTTCCAAATCTAGCTGTGGCGGCACTTTAACTGTTTAACACGTCGAAATGTAGACAGCTAATTTCCTTATCTTTCACCGTTTATTTCCCTCAATGCTTTAAAGTCTTCCACCCCCCTTGTTCACTCTTGGTCCGCTTTCTTTCTTTCTCCCTTTCTTTCTTTTGCAGCACATAACTCTCAGCTCCCTACACAGCCATTTCCAGCACAGCACCGCGCAGAAAAGGAGAATGCGTGGGAACTAATATGAACAGCGCGGAAATAAACGAACCCAGTCGGAAAAGCACGAATTCCTGCAGGACAGGAAGCATATGCTCACGATAGATATTTCGAAATTCCCTAAAATCACGCCACTTCGATACAGCCTACGACTTTTTCGTAGCGGGTTAGGAGAACTTGCGCAGCAGGTTGGGAGAATTAACGTAGCAGGTTATGATAATTAGGTTAATGTTAGGAAAAGGGTTAGGATTAGCGAAAATGCTCTTCTTAGTTGTTACAAAGTCACTTGTATCTAAGTGGCATGTTTTTTAGGGAGTCCCAAATTGTTCACCTCTCCTGAATTGAAGCATTTCAGTGATCCAAAAAATGCATCTTGACAGTACAGCCAGTTCATGCCTGTTCACAACGGCGTTTTATAATAATTATTGTAAAATACACTGAGTGTACAACATTTAACATTTAAGTCATTTAGCAGACGCTCTTATCCAGAGCGACTTACATTAACATTATTTATGTGACAGACTGACTAGGTGAATCCAGGTGAAAGCTATTATCCCTTATTGATGTCACCTGTTAAATCCACTTCAATCAGTGTATTTGAAGGAGAGGAGACAGGTTAAAGAATGATTTTTAAGCCTTGGTACATGTATTGTTCCATTTTGCTGGGAATCGGAGGTGTCCGGTGCGAGAGAGGCAGGTTGAGGTGGCCAGAGTCAGAGTAGTGCTGAAGCTGAGGAGGAGTAGTGCAGAAGCTAAGGCAGTGAAGAAAGTAGAGGAGGATGGGTCAAGGGTGAGGGATAGTAGGTCAACGAGTGATACTTGTTTACAGTATGCTTTAGTAAGGTTTGCTTCTTAGCAATGGTGTCCCGTCATCCCAGGCCGTTTTTTTAATTTTTATATTCCACCTTTATTTAACCAGGTAAGCCAGTTGAGAACACGTTCTCATTTACAACTGCGACCTGGCCAAGATAAAGCAAAGTAGTGCGATAAAAACAACAACACAGTTAAATATGGAATAAACAAAACGTACAGTCAATAACACAATCGAGAATCTATATACAGTGTGTGCAAATGTAGTAAGTTATGGAGGTAAGGCAATAAGTAGGCCATAGTGCAAAATAATTACAATTTAGTATTAACACTGGAGGGATAGATGTGCAGTAGATGATGTGCAAATAGAGATACTGGGGTGCAAATGAGCAAAATAAATAACAATGTAAATAACAATATGGGGATGAGGTAGTTGGGTGGGCTAATTACAGATGGGCTGTGTACAGGTGCAGTGATCGGTAAGAATTGAATAATTTTCTCTTCCATAAGCCACCTCCGTCATTTTAGAGAATTGAGCAGTACATCCAACCGGCCTCACAACCGCAGACCACGTGTAACCAGTGGCGGCTCCTGAAAAAATTCTCAGGAGGGGCAATTTTTCTGATGATTTAGGTGACCTACACACATTTAAAAAAAGATATGTCCAGCAACAACATGAAGACAGGGGCAGCATATAAGTCAATACCAGAAGCATTTATTGACTGATCTGGGGAGATGGATTCCAGTTTCTGTGACAGATTATAAATAATCTCTGATGCCTTTGTTATATTAGCTTTTGGTTGAATGTACTGTCGTAGTAAATATATAATGTTATAGCTTGGTCTGACTAAAATCTTGTGCATGACCCATTTTGTGTTGGGCGTTTGTTTTCAATCAATGCTGTTCCTATCCTATAACAATGGACAAAAGAGTCCTATCTTGTCAGCCTTGTCAGCAGGTGGCCAAGGACAACACCCACGCCATAGGTCTCTCAGTTCTTCCAACTCACGAGTTCTTGCTCTGAGGACACACACACACACACACACACACACACACATCATCACTGATAACACACACACACACACACACACATCATCACTGTTAAACACACACACACACACACACACAAAAATCCCCTCTCTTTAGGCTGAACATTTGAAGACAGAGAACCCGACTCAGAGCCAATGCAACAGTGGAGGGGACCTCGCCCAACTCATCAGGACCAATCAGAAGATCAGAACTACTAGATTCAACCTACATCATTTATTGTATAAAATGTCTGCACACAATGTTTTCGGGGCTCTCTTCAGATAGCTCCCTAAGAGTTTGACGAACGAGTCCGTGCACGCGATTCCAGATATCTTTACCTCTGAATAAACTGCCTTTATTATACCATATCCACCCTGTCCAAAGTCTCTACTTGGTCTCAGTTCTCCAGTAAACTTGTGATTATCAACAGTACACAACGGTAACAAACAATTGGGGGAACTCACGGGGCAGATAGTAAGGTCGCAGTGACACAGAAAGCAGTTCAATGTCGGGGGTACAGAGTCGCTCTCTTACCAGGATCGATTTTCCCTGTGACTGTCAGATCGCTGTCCACTCTGACCAGGGTGAAGCCGGCCGGCTCCACTTCTCTGTCCGGGACTCTGTCATCCAGCCAAGTCTCCCAGCTGTATTGGATTCCGCTGCCAGCAGCGTTTTCATTATTTAGTCCGTTCGTAGCGGGTATGTACACGATCAACAAGATCAGTCCAAAACCCACCACTGGAAATCCATGGTTGGCAGAATGTTTGTAAACTAAGTGTACAAATTAAAAACATAAAATAACGCCACTACGTGTACAAATTAAAAACATAAGATAACGCCACACTGCAGGTCGCAACAGAGACGCTGCTAGCCGCTATTTTCTTAGTTACGTTCATGGTTACGTCACGTATGACGAAAGCGCGTAAGTGCAAGCCCTCAGAAACACATAGAGATTGTATTGAAAGCTTTGAAATTTGAAAAAAATAGATTTTACATCAGAGTCTATGACAGACTTCTGGGCGATTTTCAACTTGACTGAAATCGCCCCAAAAACGGGCGGGGCCATTTGAAGCACGACTTTAGCCTGATTTGACATTTAGTGGCAGTCAGATCAGATTACAACACTGATAACTACTGTTGCCGTGATATAATTGATTAGAAAAAAAATCCCTTCCTTTTCCCGTTTGGCAGTGCGTCGCCCATATCGCCCTATTGAACACACCGCCCCTGCGTGTAACCACGCCAGCCCAGGACATCCACACCCGGCTTATTCAACTGCAGGATGGTCTGAGACCAGCCACCTGCAACTGTGGGTTTGCACAACCGAATAATTTCTGCACAAACTGTCAAACAGTCTCAGGGAAGCTCATCTGCGTGCTCGTCGTCCTCACCGGCCTCGTAACTGACTTCAGTGGGCAAATGCTCACCTTCGATGGACACTGGCACGCTGGAGAAGTATGCTCTTCACAGATGAATCCCAGTTTCAACTGTAGCAGGCAGATGGCAGACAGCGTGTATGGCGTTGTGTGGGCGAGCGGTTTGCTGATGTCAACGTTGTGAAGAGTGCTCCATGGTGGCAGTGGGGTTATGGTATGGGCAGTCATAAGCTCCGGACAACGAACACAATTGCATTTTATCCATGGCAATTTGAATGCAGAGATAACGTGTCGAGATCCTGAGGCCCATTGTCATGCCATTCATCCGCCTCCATCAGCTCATGTTTCAGCATGATAATGCACGGCCCCATGTCGCAAGTATCTGTACACAATTCCTGGAAGCTGAAAATGTCCCAGTTCTTCCATGGCCATACATGTTACCCATTGAGCATGTTTGGGATGCTCTGGATCGACGGGTGTTCCAGTTTTCTGATCCATACAGATGCATATCTGTATTCCCAGTCATGTGAAATCCATAGATTAGGGCCTAATGAATTTATTTCAAATTGACTGATTTCCTTATGAACTGTAACTCAGTAAAATCTTTGAAAATGTTGCATTTATATTTTTGTTCAGCGTTTTGAATGGAAGAATATGGATTTGATCACAATAAGCCTTGAATAGTTAGTGTTGTGAATGTGCTTATCAAAATTGTTGTAAGATGTAGTTCATAAAAATAAGTCCAAGTATAATTGTCCACTTCATATTAGTCTTTTGTCATTCATTTATTTTAAACACTGTTAGACAAAACAATGGATTTCCACCAACTTTCACCAGAAACCAGTTTGGAAAATATTAAATGAAGTTGTTCGAGGGCCACTAAGGTAAGACAGAACAAAACAATGTGAATTATCTATATTAATTACAATTGACCACCCATGTGAAGAAATCAACATTACAAATGTCCCCTTTTTCATATATCAGGAAAAATGTGAGAAGGTATCATCAGTTGGTTGTATACTGTGTGCACCTCATACTTCACCCCCTTTATTATTGAAGTTGAATTAAAAGACCCCTAAATTAATACAATTCAGTGACGTAAAAAATTTACACTCATTTGGGTACATTCAGAACCAGTGTTTTTTTGTGTATCATTGAACAGTGTAGAAATGCAGAATGATTATATGTTCACAATCGAGGTCAGCTTAGCCATACTGTAAGAATCAGACAAATTATCTAGCAAGCAAGACCCTGAAAACAACCTCTGACAAATATAACATGTAGTTATTCAGTAAAAATTTCTACTATGATGACACAGTAACAAGATGCAGTATTTCTAATAAAGGGACCACACTTTGACAATATCAAGATCTGGGAAATCCATTGTGAATTGAATTACTTATTTGATTATATCCTCAAACCACACATTTGTTTCAAGTACTAATTAAGTAAACAAAGTTGGGTAATAAAACAAGTAGATACGTTTTAGATTTGACCTTCCGCTATCCTATCTCGTTCCAGTTGTTAAATTATTAGTTGGTGCTAAATTATTATTTTAACTCCATCAATATTCCCATATCCAAAGCAAACTGTGAAACACGTGTTCCTAACATCACCTGACATACAGTACGACAGCTCATCCTAATATTACAGTTTATTTGAAATAACCAAGAGTGGAAGCATTTTGGTTGTTAATTCCATAGTTGCAGAAGAAAACAATGTTCCAAGGAGTATACAAAGTTGAGAGCAAAACCATCTTCAAATCTCTCACCAAACCTCTGTCAAGTCTGTTGTTCTATCCCCCAAAAAGTCACTTTTTAAGCATTGCCAACTCACTTTTTAATCATTGCCAACTGCCGTTATATTAGTTATGGTGTGTGTAAATAGCATTGGTGAATCAGCAATGTAACAAGAGTGCTTCCATGTCAAAATATACAAAAAAACAGTTCCATTTATTGTGTTGGAATCCTGCCATTTCCCGTCATTCGTTGTAATAATTTAACAGCAGATGGAAGAAGTTCATATACAGTACACATTTGCCCCCCAAAATGTAAACATTCATATAACATGGTTTAAAAACAGCAAAGGGAGCCAGTTCCTACATACACTGTGTGATTCTTAAACAAGGGTTCTGAAAAATATTGAGAACAGCGTTAAGGGGAAATGCCTCACCTGTACAAATGCACTCCTGCTAAATTAGATTGTAGGGTAGCTTGCTTCAACAAGTAGGTAAGTATGGCATTACAGGATCGGCAACAATCTAGTATCAAAAGGTAGTAATGGCAGAACTAAGCTTAATTTATTTTGTGTCCTGTCAATCATTTTGTGATTTAAACCAATGAGAGAATTGGTGGAATCCATTTGATGATATCACTGGATGATCGACAGGGCATGGCCCATTCCTGAAGCCTCCTATGTACACTACCTCTTTTTTTTAGAAGGGTTCCTATGAGAAATCCATGCTTTGGCACAGGGGCACTATTTCAAAGCATACTGAATTTAGATACCTTTCATACTTGTGCCAAGGTCTTTTAAAACGTGATACACTTTCCCTGATTCTCTTGGATCCAGTCCAGATAGTGACTACAAATCATTACCAACACATTATTGTTCTAGTGTGTTAAAGACCGCACTGAATTAAAGGACACACTTTTGTACATAAACATTCAACTTACGTTTGAAAGGCCGTATTTGATCAGACAAAATCAGCAGCCATTTTCCAAGTCATTAAACACTTTTGGAAATGTTAACCAATTGAACATTTTACAGAGATAATGGACAATAAATTGCTTAATCCGCTGTCTCCATCTAGAAACCACATCTAAACATTTGTTCTTAATTTAGTTTCCTCACGTCTCTTATCAATTCACACAACAGAATGGCCGCACCTAATTTGTGCAATTTCCACAAAAAAGGGCCAATAATACATCATATTCAGCCCTGAAACAAAATGAAATGAACGTTAAAAAGTAATGAATAGGTTATTTCAGTAAAAAAAACATATTTACAAAGTACAAACATGTTTCAGGGGAGGGGGAAACCAAAAACAGGATGTAAACCAATTTTGGCACTCAGTTTTTGTTTACAGTGTGGTAGGATGCATACTGTAACTCGATCGTGTAACAGCTTTTTTTTGGTTCTTCTCTCCCTCTGGTTGCCTCGATTGGCACAGCTTGAGTATATTCTTGCGGATAAACATGCAAGCCCTTCATATACTGTACGGTAAGAGAGTATGTAACCTTAGTCTAGAGTCTTGGTGTCTTGAGTGAGACTACCTTTCACCTTCTTGGAGCAACGCTAGGCTAATACCCCTCCCTCTCTTTTGGTTTGGATATCTGCGCTGCTGTACCCTGTGCTCCTCGCCCCGCCGCCTCCAGGCTCCAGTCGGACTGAGCCAAGTTGAACCAGGATGCCTTAAACCGTGGCTGCCTGACGGGCAGCGTGGGTCTTGGCACCTTCTTCTCCTCCGGGTCGTCAAAGCTCACCTCCTGCACCGCCTTCTGCTTCTTAAAGGAGTCCCTCCTCTCGGACAGGGCTAGTTTCCTCATCACCAACTCCTTGGAGCAGTGGTCACTGCGGTGGTCGCTGCTGGCCGACTCCCTGTGGCTTCTCTGACCGCCCAGATACAGGCCCTGGCGGCCATGTTGTTCCCCCACACAGACAAACCCTGTGGCCGTATCCCCCGCCTCCAGGTCCTCTAGCCCCTCCCCCTCCGATAGGGGCACCTCCATGGTGTGTCGGCGGGTAGCGTAGGCCTTCTTGTCGCCGTGGTACGCCCCAGAGAGCTTCTCAGCTGACTGCACCCTCTTGAGGAGGGGGGAGCGGGGCGGCTCGGCACTGCGGGGGCGGACAGAGTGGCGGGCAATGGTGGGAGGGGACAGGGTCTTGCCATGGAGGCCCTTGGACAGGCCAGGAAGGGAGGACTGAGAGCACTGGGGGGAAAGGGGCTGCGGAGGGGGGATACAGGCTAGCGGGGAGGGGGGGATGCTGCTGGTGGACTTGCAGCGGCCTGCATTGGTGTAGCGGCCCAGGACGTGGAGGGAACTGGGACGGGCCTGGGAGACTGGGGAGTTGGGAGAGCTGGAGCAGGGAGAGGAGCTCTGGGGGGAGTTGGAGTCTGAGAAGAGATAGTACAGGAGAACATGCTGTAGATAAGCCTTTGATTTCTTCCGTTACAAAGAAAACATTCTCGCTGTAGTGCTGTTAACTGCTCTGATAATAATGAGAATCAACTTTTGCCTGCATTTCTGTATGACATGTACCATGAAAACCAAGAGCTTTTACATAACCCAGGTATCTTCTATTCAGATACCAATTGACTTGGTATATCATAATGGTTGAAACATGGTCATATACCCACCTTATTACATTAAAATATGCACAACACAAAATGGCTGACTATAGAACCACAGTTTACATCCAATAGAGGCTAGCTACTCACCTCCAGACTGGTCGGGGGCGGGGGAGCGGCAGGGTGTGCTGGGCCCAGGCGAGAGGCTCTGGGTGGGGGAGCCAGACAAGCTGTCACTGGAGGACACTGAATGCTGGAAGCCGGAGGAGAAACTGCGACTGCTCTGCATGGGAGGAGTGGTGTGCTTGGCTATCTTCTTCCAGATGCTACGTCGTCTACTACAGGAAAGAAATGGGATTCAATTTAAGTGGATATGGATAAAGGTTTTCAGCAATCCCTTTCATGTGACGTTATAATACACTGATTCTGTGGATAGAAAAGATTGCGATATTAGCATTAGGCAGCACAGAATTCCATATTTGTTTGTTTTGTTATTATATTCTTATTTACAATAATAGTTGCTCCAAAATGACCCAATACATTATTTACGATTCATTTCTATTGGGCACATCTGGAACACAACCAAAACAAACTGCAAATGCAGTAAAGTAAAGTCTTTGTGTGCTAGGAATAAGGGTCCAAATACTTAACTAAACTTAACTACACTGAACAAAAAAATAAACACAACAATTACAAAGACTTTACTGAGTTACAGTTCATATAAATCAATCAGTCAATTTAAATAAATAAATGAGTCTCTAATCTATGGATTTCACATGACTGGGAATACAGATATGCATCGGTTGGTCACAGATACCTTAAAAAAGTAGGGGCGTGGATCAGAAAACCAGTCAGGATCTGGTGTGACCACCATTTGCCTCATGCAGTGCGACACATCTTTCGCAGAGAGTTGATCAGGCTGTTGATTGTGGCCTGTGGAATGTTGTCCCACTCCTCTTCAATGGCTGTGCGAAGCTGCTTGATATTGTCAGGAACTGGAACATTCTATCGATCCAGAGCATCCCAAACATGCTCAATGGGTGACATGTCTGGTGAGTATGCAGGCCATGGAAGAACGGGGACATTTTCAGCTTCCAGGAATTGTGTACAGATCCTTGCGACATGGGGCCGTGCATTATCATGCTGAAACATGAGGTGATTGCGGCGGATGAATCGCATGACAATGGGCCTCAGGATCTCGTCACGGTATCGCTGTGTATTGAAATTGCCAATGATCAAATCAGGGTGGCTGGTCTGAGACGATATTGCATGTGAAGAAGCCGGATGCAGAGGCCCTGGGCTGGTGTGGTTACACGTGGTCTGCGGTTGTGAGGCCGGTTGGACGTACTGCCAAATTCTCTAAAATGATGTTGAGAAATTAACATTCAATTCTCTGGCAACAGCTCTGGTGGATATTCCTGCAGTCAGCCAATTGCATACTCCGTCAAAACTTGAGACATCTGTGGCATTGTGTTGTGACAAAACTGCACATTTTAGTGGCATTTTATTGTCCCCAGCACAAGGTGCACCTGTGTAATGATCATGCTGTTTATCAGCTTCTTGATAAACCACACTCACAATTTTTAAAGCCTTTTGTCCAGATGGGACATTTCTAGGAACTTTTATTTCAGCTCATGAAACATGGGACCAACACTTTACATGTTACATCACATTTTTTATTCAGTATACTTTAATACACATAAGTGAATTTGTCAAAATACCTTTGGTTCCCTAAAATGTACAAAAAGTGTTGTAATTTCTAAACGGTTCACCACTACCAATATGGATGAAAATACACTCAAATGAAAGCTGACAGTCTGCACTTTAATCTAATAGTCATTGTATGTGTCACTGTCCAAATATTTTTTGGAGCTCACTGTAGGTGCTACACATTAGTAGTGGTGACTGGAGTAACATAATGGACAGCCGTAATGTTCTGCTCTTACCAGTCCTGGCCGTCCTGCCTCTTGCTCTTCTTGCTGCGTCGAGCCATCTTGCTCTTGTAGCTGGTCTTCCTGGCTGGGCCCACCTTGATGGAGGTGTTCTCCAGGGCTGTGGTCTGCAGCGTCACCTTGTTGCCACTCTGTGAATAGAAGGGCTATTGGTTTACTGTGCTCCAAATACTGGACAGGTGAAAATAATATGGTACAATTTGGAGGAGGGAAGAAGGAGTATTAAGACAGTCCTCTTCCAGTGGGTCTCACCTTGAGCAGCAGCTCCACCACCTCAGTGTGCACAAGCCCCTGGACCGACTCTCCGTTCACGTGGGTGATGAGGTCACCGGCTCTCAGCCCTGCCTCATGAGCCGGGGTGCCCTCCTCCACACACTACAGGAACACATGAAGAAGAGCCGATCAGAATGTAACCCTGACTGCTTTGGCATTCATCAACGCTTTTAGAAACTAAATGTACAACAAGACAAAATAACATTTTGGCTAAAGTAGAAACTGTAAGACTGGCACACTCACTAATAATAATCCCAATAGATTAAAAATCAGCCAGACATTTGGTATTTGGACGAACAAGTGCTGTTATAAACAAATACGACACATAATGAAATAACTAAACAACATAAACCAATCCCAGACCACACAAATAGTTCAATCAGCCTATAAAAGCAAGTCCCAATACTTTAAGCATGACTGCAGCAGTACTAGGAACCATAGCGATACAGACTAGAATTGCCCGATTTCCCTGACCAAGATGGCCATCCCGTAGTTACGTTGCTGGGGTGCCAAAATCCATTCTAGTGTTCTATTTCATTCTGTGGTAGGGACACTTACCCAGACCATGTGGTGCACGGTGTAGACGTCTGAGTTACCCATGTAGACACGGATGGCGTGCAGGGCGAAGCCAAACCTCTTCCCAGAGCTGTGGATGACCACGGGTGGGCGCAGGCTGCTGATGCCGAGGGACAGGTCCCCTCGGCTGGGAGACGAGTCCCGGGACGAGGGGTTGGAGGACAGGGACGACTTGGGTCTGGTGGGGGGACCGTCCGCAGTGTCTGGGAGTATGGAGAGAGGCCATACGTTAGGACTAAGGCATTTCTTAAAGAATTTAGCAAAGTCTGTTTATGAAGTCGGAACAAGCATATCAATCATACAGGCTACATATCCATAAACAATAATAGGTGTGTGTTGTTGCTAGCATTATGCTAACCCAGAGACAGTGGCTGCATCTCAAATGAATGGCCCATTTAAAATGCTACTTTTAGTCATAGCTCTGGACAAAAGCAATCTATAGAAATAGAATTCTATGAAGCAATGCATGCTACCAGGAATAGGGTACCGTTTGAGACCAGACCTCTCTTAATGTCGGCGTATGCTAGTACAAGATAGCTAGCTCCAGTAGGTTTACCAACCTGGGGTGATGATGAGGGACAGGCCAGAGACAGAGGCTGACTTGGGGACCTTGCAGCCCGCAGGGGGCCTGGGCTTCTCGGGGGTGTCCAACTGGTGCCCGATGCGGCGGGACCCCCCGCGCCTGTAGGAGGGCCGCGTGCCCGTGCTATTACTGCGCAGACGGATACGCCGCAAGTTGGACACTACGCCGTCTAAGAGGAGGGAGAGAGAGGGAGAGAGAAAGAAAGTGTGTCTATGTCTCTCAGTATGCGTGTGTAGGCCTAAACACATTTATGTGTGTGAACCAGTGCAGTCTCAACTCACCCTCTTCCTCAGCTGAGATGGTGAAACGTGGCAAGGTGTCCAGGCTTTGGGTGCTGTTCATCACCAGCGGACTGGCACTCCTCTCTGACTGGGACGAACTGGAGGAGGCCCTGGGACGCAGGCTGGAGTATAGGAGGGGAGGAGAACAGAATGCCGTTAACAAGGACAAGAAAGGATACACTTACAGAGAGGGTAGTTGCGATCTGATTATGCTAGAACGGATGGAAGAATGACAGTTTCTGCCCACTAATTAATATTTAACTTTAGAATGTGTGCATGTTTTCAATAGTTATTTGGAGTTGAATGTGATGTCTCCCTTATAACCATAGAAAAAGGCAAATATAACGGTGTTTAATGAATTTTGCCGATGTTCCGGCTAAAGCTAGACTAGTCTCAACTTCACACGAAACATAGTGTAGTCTGAGTGCTGTGTTATTGTACCAAGGACCTTTCTCTGTCTCTCACCTTCCTCTGTGTCCCTCCGTCCTCCAGTCCCCGCTGGCCCCCTGTTTGTGTCCCTCTCCTGGGGAGAGGCAACTCCTCCCCTCCCACCTCTCCTCCTTCTCCTCACTGTGGCTGCGCTCTGACGACGACAGGCTCTGATTGGATGGCGTGGAGGTGGACAGGTGCTCTGTGCTGCTGTACACCTGGGGGGCACAAAGAGGTCAGAAGTCAGAGAAAGGTCACAAAAAACGTTTAGTGAAACAACAAGCATGACCTCCCCCTAGAAAAATAAACAAATAATGCTTTTTAACAAAACCACAGGTAATTTCAGTTTTGAGCGGTTTAAAGGGGAGTCCTGTAAGTCACTCTGGATAAGAGCGTCTGCTAAATGACGTAAATGTAAGTCATTACAGTGAGACTCGCATTAAGGGAAGAGTCATTTTACAGTTGACAAATATTTTTTGTATCTCGTTCTGACAAGCCAAATCATGATGATTTTTTAAAAAGGGGCAGTGTTGCAAGGAGTATTCTTCGGAGTAAATATATGTTTGGTAAAGTCTAAATCTTAAACAATATGAACAAACATTGGGTCATTTCCCACCTTGCTAAAGCGATGTGCCACAGAGGAGAACTGCTTGAGCTCCAGGGACGTGTCTTCATCACAGGTCTCATCATCATCATCATCATCATCTGAGCCCAGGTGACTGTATCGCTCAGATCGTGCTGTAGAGCAACACACATTACAAGTCAGTAGCCTACACACTCGTCCAGCGCAGAGCAGGTTATGTTCGCCCTAACCACTGACCCTGAGTCAGATAGTTTCACCGCCCTTGATGATTAAGATTAGGCTTGGGGGTAAGGATAATAGAGCAGTGTTTACAGGCTACTTCTACCTTCAGCGTCTTACACAACAACAACATTTAAATACTCCCAATGAGAGTGGTAAAGGTCGCCACCTACTGTCAAAGTAGCTGGTGTCGTCCTCAGTCTCCAGTTGGGGGATAAACTCCGCTTTCTGTCGTAACAGTCCATTCCAGTCCAGACCCACAAAGAACCTATGCATCTTGACCTCTGGTGTCCCCCCTGGGAGTAACATAGGGATAAATGATTTGATCATTGAGTTGATCAAACCAGTAATCAATATGGTCAATATAGTCAAACCCATATCACTTTAGGTGGTGCATTTTTGATTCAGCTCATCAAACCATCTTAGTAATAAAAACAATGATCATGACATTGAATTGTTTCAGTGAAGAATATAATGATTTGTATGTGTGCCTCTTAACTTTCTCATTCATCATTATTCACGATTCATTCATGATTCTCCATAAACATCATGGTAGCATCCACATTGACGTAGAAGCGTTCAGAAATATTCTAATCCAATTTACAATAGAAGTGACTCCAAAATGACAAATGAAGAAGGTAATAAAGAAGCCACCCACCAGTCCCGAGACGGTCCAGAGGGCTTTGCCTCAGCAACCTGGTGATCAGGTCCTGGGCATCAGCAGGCAGGGCGTCCTCCCCCTCGGGCCAGATGATGTCATCTGTGAAATACACACATTTCTGAATACCATATCATCTGAATTACACACAATACAACATGAAACATTTGACAATAATTCAAATAGACTGGTAGTTGGGAACTGTGATATTGATGACGAGAAGTTCTTCTTGACATTGGTGACTAGATGTTTGAAAGACATCTGGCACTATGGACATTTGCCTATCACAGAGTAAGAAAAGATAGAGGGTGTCTTTGGGTCAAGAAGACTGTGATCGCATGCAATCCATGGCAACAGATAGGCTCTACAGGCACCTCCTATTCATTGAATTAATTTGACCAGTCAAAGCCACATTACCCTAGCCTGGATAAACCAGAGTGAACAATAGTAAACATAGCATTCAGTCTAATTTAACCAGGCTAACGTTTCCCATTCATGAGATGACTCTCACCATTGACCACCTGTCCGAAGAGCTGTTCGGGTGTGTCCCCGAAGAAAGGCACGCAGCCCACCAGGAACTCATAGAGGATGATGCCCATAGCCCACCAGTCCACCGGCTTTCCATAGCCCTGCCTTAAGATCACCTCTGGGGCAATGTACTCTGGAGTACCACACACCTGAGACAGAGAACCAGAAGAAGGGAGGATTTAAGAATGGGCATTGGACAATAAAAAGAGTATAGGTCAGGTAGATAAACAGAATGAGAAGGTATCAGAGAGAGAGAGAGAGAGAGAGAGAGAGAGAAAGAGAGATGGAGAGGAAATTAGAAAACAATTTAGACAAAAATGGAGAGAAAGAGGATAGAGAAAGATTGAGCTCACCTGCTTGTCTATGAACTCCCTTGTGTCCTTCTCAATGTGTTCCTCATACAGGTTGGTGGTCATGTTCATCAGGCCGATCTTGGACAGGCCAAAGTCAGTCAGCTTGATATGGCCCATGGATGTGATCAGCAAACTACACAGGAAGAAAATACATTAGAAAACAATAATTTACCACAGAACAGAAGTTGATGCTGGATAGTGAACAAGGCCGAAAAAAGCCTTTGTGTAAAAAACTTCCAGAATGTATGTTCTACACATAACCAAAGAAGTGCTCTTCTCCGGTGTCTCTGATCATTTACCATCTTTAAAATGCCTATAGAAAATAGACCTAGTTTGAAAAAGAATACACCGGTAGGCCTAGTTTGAAAATGACAACACCATGAACACAAAGCAGAATACACACTGCCACACTTTCATTACTGTATACTATGAGCAGGACACCTGGATAGTCAGGTTCCAGACTCACTTGTCAGGTTTCAGGTCTCTGTGTACGATGCCATAGTTATGGAGGTACTCCAGTGCCAAGACAGTCTCTGCAAAGTACATCCGGGTCATGTCCACTGGCAGCGGGCCAATGTTTTTCAACAGGTTGGCACAGTCCCCACCTGAGGAGGAAGATGGCACGCCAACAGACTGTGTTAAAGGCTGGCAGCAACGACCATGAGAGCCTGATTTGATTTGTGTGCTGCTGAGACTTGAATTTGAACTGCAAGGCATCAGAGTTACAGCCGCTATAATATACGTTTATTATCTGACAATCATTTCAACTAATCTCCGCCTTGGGCTAATTTCACCCAAAGAGTGAATTTGGAGTCATTACGTTTAGAATAAGCGGGTTGAGTGAGGGTAAGGTGGTATTCTGATGTACTGTCATGCTCCATAGCCATGCAGTGGTAGCGTCTGTAAATCAATACGTAGCATATGAGTGTGTAAAAATCAAATGTGTGTGTGCGTGTGAATCTTGTATGACATTCCAGTGGATTCTACCCTTCCATATAAATTATATGTCTGTGTGAGTCTGCAGGGGTGTAGATCTTCATTAAGAACCTACCTTCTACATACTCCATGACCATACAGAGGTGTCTGCGAGTCTCAAAGGAGCAGAACATGGAGACGACAAAGGGGTTCTCAGCGAAGGTCAGGATGTCTCTCTCCACAAATACCTGCTGGATCTGGTTCCTCAGAATCAGGTTCTGCCGGTTGATCTTCTTCATGGCAAAACGCTGCCGGGTCTCCCTGTGCCTCACCAGGAACACAGCACTGCGACCATGGAAAGAAAGAAAGAAAGAAAGAAAGAAAGAAAGAAAGAAAGAAAGAAAGAAAGAAAAGCCAGTTTGTTATAAGAAGCACCTGAATAACTGTCTTAAGTTACTTCTTTTGCACTGATGTGAGAGAGTATGACCAGTAAGCATCAATCATATTGCTTTTGACATATTGTGTTGTGGAGATAAAAAGAGGGAGCTGTCTTCTGTAAAACTATTTAGACACAGGCCCTTTCCAGAAACAACCCCTAGTCACTTTTGGAGATCTGGGAGGATTGGACAGGGTGAATTTGCATAATTGGCCATGTGCATGTAATTGTGATGGACGCTGTAGGAGAGAGGAATAACTTGGTGGGAGAGACAAAAAGTGAGTAAAAAACACCCTAAATATGTTTAGAACTACAAATTAACTTTCTTCTGTCGATTCTTGTTTATTTTAATGTTTTACATTTACATCCCACCCTGAATGTAAGCCAGGGCGGGATCAGCCAGCGGCGGCTTCCCGCATGCGCGATTCATTTGCAGTCTGGACGCGGAGGGGTGAACATCTCCTGCTCTGACTGCAGCTGGGAGGGACTGCTGCGTGAGGACTGGGCCGCCTGTGAGCGCTTTGGGACGGGGGTGGGGCCTGTGAGCGCTTTGGGACGGGGGCAGCACCCGCTGCTCGTTGAGAAGAGTAAGAACGATACGTGCTTTCACGTCAGAGTTTCCAATAACACCAGAAAAAGGTAACTAGATTTGTCGCTAGTCGCTTTTTTGAAAATGTGTCGCTAGAGGGGTCTGAATACTCGCTAAATATAGCAACAAAGTCGCTAAGTTGGCAACACTGATTCTGGGTGATGCGAAACACTGTCATCATCTCACTGGCTTCTTCTCTGGTGAGCTCTCATTGGCTATTGCTGATCACCGTTCTCCAACTTGTGGTTGCACATCTCACCCTACAAGAGCATTGCAGACTTTCTGCCGATAAAATCAAACCGGTTTGAAAATAAAATTTGGGACATCTGGGACTGCTCAAAGACGGGATCGGTAGCCCTCTGATTGGGTCTCTTGACCCGCTCACATTAAACGAGCGCCGGTGACGGCCGCGGGCCTCGAGTAAGCAACGACATGCAGATTTTGTCTCTGACCTCAAAAACTTGTCTGGGATAGCTAAATCAGGGCCAAAATCGTATAGTGTACACCCGGCTTAATATGGCGCAATGGGTCCTCACATCACTAACAACATATTTGAACAGGCATTTGGCCAGTTGGTCATAAACATTGGCATGGTATTTGTTGAAGAAATGTTTGCCAACTGTATGGCAGCACACACATTCAAAACATCCTCTTTCAGTTTCACTTCTGCGTTTTGCACACACAGATTTCCTCAAAGACCGCTATAAATGAAGAGCTCGTACTCACCCATAGGCCCCGTTACTGATGAGCTTGAGGGTGTCAAAGTCGCTCTCAAGTGGTTTCCTGCGAGAAGGAGTGCAGGCTGCCCGGTTCTGAGACACAAAATTGCAGAACAAAGCTATTTCTCCTGAACACATTTGCCAGGTCAAAACGAATAAACAAGCTGTGTAATTGCCATAGTATGTGTTATATAATTTTTAGAGAGCTTTCTTTACTTTCTTCTATGCATCTCATCTAAAGCCAAGCCAACTAAATTCTAGAACATGCTAGTTCATGCAATAGGCCTACACAGTACATGCTACACTATGCTAATACAATGCTTTACATTCCTATGATCTAACCATCATGGGGCTGAACTTATCCTGCAGTGAAACTGTTTCTGGTTGCCTTACCTCCCCAGTGTCGTCAGCGTCTCTGCAGGCCGCTCCGTGCCCAGGGCAGGTCTGCTCCAGATGGACCATGTCTACAGTACAACAGTGGGAGAGAGACCATGGTCAGGCACCAAACGACAGAAAACAGACTGAAACCTGCAGAGACTACCTGAACAATACGAAACACTCATTTTCTGTAGCAAAGACGTTTTAAACGTTTATCTTGCATGCCTTAATGAACATGACCCTTGTTATCCTCATACGGTCACCCCTCTGTAACTCAGTGCGATCATAAGTTGAACTATTGCATATTATATTCAAAGACATTATGGGAGAATCACTAGGTAGCCGCATCTTTTCAACAGGTAGCCGCTTGGCCAGGTTTTAAAATAACCCTAAAGTGCTTCATATTAAGATAGTGGTTGGTTTAGAACTGAGCCTAGGAAACTTAAGGGGAAGTCAACCATGGAATGCATCAAGAAGAACAGGAAACCCTACAAATACCTTCCAATGGCTCCCACTGCTCATGCTTTAGCTGATGTATAGATTAGATAGCTCTGTGAGGCTGCTAGCTCAGGCCCATCCTTCTTTATATCACTCTAGGATTCTACCAGGAAGAGGAAGCCCCACAGTACTGTACCTTCCAGAGGGTCTCTGGTGAGGCCAAGCTGGCTGATGATGTAGCGGGGGATGTCTGTCTTGATGACCTGGCCCACCTTGGCATGGCCCTCCGCTGCCTCCAGACGGTGCAAGAACTCCTCCGGGTCAAACTCCTATTGGTGGTGTAAAGACCATAGGAATATTGGTTATTATGATTCACGTTACATAGATAGGTATACTGTATGTTTACCAGGGTTTCTACAGTGTTATAACCCTGTAACAAGCTAGTATGTACACTTAGTGGTGAGTACTTAACACTAGCTCTCACTGTACTTAATCTATGAAAAAGTATTAACAACATCATAGAGGCTGGGCAAAATGCATCATGGATGTTATGAATCATATGTGTTGTGTTGGTTAGCTTTACAAGCACAACTTCCTGAAATGGAGAATAAAAATATATTTTCATGAGTGTGGGAATCTTACCAGACACTCCAGTAACCTGGCTGGCCTGGAGATAATGATGAGAATCTTCTTCACCAGCTTGATGATGATGGTCACTTCCTCACTGTCTGACCGCTCATACGCCTGATCACCATGACAAGAACAATACAGAACCTTATATGCCTGGTATATGACATTGGCAGTAGGTAGCATAGCGGTTAGAGCGTTGGGCCAGTAACCGAAAGGTCGCTAGTTCAAAGGTGAAAAATCTGTCCCCTTGAGCAAGGTACTTAACCCTAATTGCTCCAGGGTCTGGACCCTGGCAGTGTCCCCACTCTCCGAGGGTGTCTCAAGGGGAGTTGGGATATGCAAAAATAACATTTCCAATTGATACACGAGTATAATAAAAACTTGTACATATAAGCACCCACCAAAACATAATAATAATTATTATTATTATAGTTATCATCATGGCAGCACTGCGATAGAAGCATTACAAAATAATCTGGTATAATGTCAAAGTAAGTGGCTTAGTCTGTATAGTAATGATAATCAAATACAACACTTACAGTATAACTCATTCTTTCACAATCAAATAACCAGGCTGTTCTCACTTAAAAGGTCCCCTGTAGAGCATGGCGCTTGCAACGCCAGGGTTGTGGGTTCGTTTCCCACGGGGGGCCAGTATGAAAATGTATGCACTCACTAACTGTAAGTCGCTCTGGATAAGAGCGTCTGCTAAATTACTAAAAAAATAAAAAATATATATAATTCAAACATTGGGTCAATCTGCAATTGATACATTCATTTTTTGACTTTTAAATTAATTATATATCTCCATTGATTCTTGAAGACTATAACTTATGAATGCCTCATGTGCTTAGTTCAACTGTTGCACCCCATCAGAACCCAAAACATAAGTTTTACGCCAATGTTTTTAAATGATATAATTGTAAACAAACACTGTATAGCATCAAAACATATATTTAAAACTATATTTGTGAAGGTTACATTTCTCCAGCCTCATCCCTCATATTTTTACCAAAACATTGGTGGGGTGCCCTTTGTTATTGTTTAAAATGCAGATTTCCCCTTTAAAGATTAGTGTTAAAGAGAGTTTTTTTAACTGCTCCTTACTAGTAATCTGTTGGTAGTTGGCTTAGTATTCACTGCTTCAAGTTATTACAAATGTGACAGAAATAGTGCCCAATCAAGTGTCCCATACACACACAAAAAATAATGTATGCACGCATGACTGTAAGTCGCTTTGGATAAAAGCGTCTGCTAAATGGCATTTTAATTATTAATTAAAAGTATAACTTAGTCAATTGTGCTTCAAATATCCATTGCAATTATTGTGCAGTATTTTTTAAGCCTGAGTATTCAGGCATGAGACTGGCAATAAACTTTTAGAAAAGTTTAAAAGTTGTAGTCGATGCTTTGACAAATGGTGACTGTTATAGGGGATCAGGGGATACTGATCAGCCTGCAACACCGTCTAATGTGAAAGTACAACAAAGTGTACGAACAATGACAGGGTTTCATAATACTGTAATTCTGTCTAGGATGTGGCTCTTTTTTTGAAGAGAGGGTACATATTTGGTCTTATGACAAAAACAAACCATTATAAGAGGACTGAATGAACTCAGATGCATCCTATATTTGAAAAATGAATGACATACAGGGAAAAACTCTGCCAACAAACTAACAAAGCAGAAAATAAAGGCAAGCCATTGTATGGACAGCAATGGTTAAGCATTGATCCTATGGAAAGTTACACAATGAGCCCTGCTTACGCAATCACATGTAAGACTGGAGAGATCCATTTAATGTAAAATGACAATTGCGCCGGAGCCAACTAATGGTTTAGAATCAAAGCAGGGCGAGCACCTATCAAACGACCAATTCCAATCTAATGTTCTCAATACACTGAGAGGCCACTGAAATCAATAACCAGGTCTCCATCCAACCTTTTTATGTGCTTAAAGTACATATCGGATAAAACATTTCACGACAGGCCTGATAGAAACAGGTAATCTCTGTAAACTTTCCTAATGTCGACAAAACTAAATATACTAGAAAAGGTGGGCTATTTTTGTGTCTGTAAAATTCATTATGCGAGAAATGTCGGTGGAAACGTTTTTATGCGCAAATATTTATATAATAACCATCATCAACCAACCATCGAAGTTGTGTGGTCCTGCCACAATGACTCGGGAAGACATGCAGTTTATCCTCTTAAATGTGAAGTCCCCATATTTGGGGACCCTATTTGATTTGTTTTATTCAATTCAGTCTGGTATGAGAACGGTAGCCCCTAACTGCAAAAGCAGGGTGTCTGCGGAAAGCTGAGTATCTTGGCTATTGATCGGTGCCTTAAAATCTTGGGTGTGACTTACTACCATATATGGGCATACACATTTATAAGGGCAGGCCGAGTCGATGACCTCATTTAAAGATGGCTGCTACCTACATTCCGGTTAGCGTTGTGAAGCATAAACGAAATAAACATGGAATACGTTGATACACACCTAAAGCTGGGACTCCACAGATCATGACGATGTCTTATTTGTCTGCCTGTGACCTACCGTTATTGATCACCAGCCCCGAGAGTCAAAATGTTTATTTTACACATCGTTTTCGTCAAACAACAAATATCTTACAAGGTAAGCTTCGATTTGGTCTGTGTTTGAGCTATAGCTACATGAGGGGTATCAAATTAATCCTTTGGTTGGTAGGAACAAATCTAACATATTGCCAATGTTATCTGATGATGTATGACATAATGGCAACATCGAACGTCCACCGAGTGACTATATCTTGGCGCATAAAAAAATATGATGATGCCTACTTACGCGCTGTAGTCATCCATTACACAGGAGATTGGCTACTATGGCACCTTGAGTCTTGTAGCCAATGAGATAAGCTTTCCAGGGATATGCAGTTGGACCTGGGTGGGACAAAGCAAGGCCTAGAAGCTTTTATGCGTACTGCGAACTATTGCTACCTGGTTCAGAGACGTACCGAGCACGCTACATTACATTGTAAACAGATTTCATCGCTTTAATTTATGCTTTAAGTGGGGGAAAGGTTTTTAAAAAATGATTTCGACACGGCCGACGAATATTGCTTTCTAGAAGGATTGGATCGACTTTTAGATCTGTAAGTACATTATTTTCATGACTTTATATAGCCAATTTACAATATGTATTTAGTTTTTTATAAGTTGTCTGCTTTTTGTGCTTTGGATTTAGTTTACATAGGCCTATGTAACAAGTAATTTCTATAGTTATTGTCTTTCATATTCGTTCACTGTTCTAAATTTCATCCTTGTAACTTGAGAGGCCACTAAACTCTCATAGCCATTGTTTATTTGTGGTTCTCATCTCTGCCTTTGTCTCCAAAGTGTTACTGTTTGCATTGTGAGTGCTTCACACCTATGTGAGTCACTGTACAGAAAGTTTAGGCTTGGTGTTTTTAACTTTACAGTAATGTCGTTTTCTAAATTGAGTCAACTGTAATTCTGTGCGTCTTACAACATTTTACATTTTAGTCATTTAGCTGATGCTCTTATCCAGAGCGACTTAGTGAGTGCATCATTTTTTTCATACTGGCCCCCCGTGGGAATCGAACCCACAACCCTGGCGTTACAAGCGCCATGCTCTACTAACAGAGCTACACGGGGCCACAACAATATATCCCTTTATTTTATTCACCACAGAGTGGAGGATGCAGAGGATTTGGATGATGACGTTTGGGAGCCACCCCTCCCCAGCAAGCGCCCCCGCCGTCAATCACCCCGTCTGATTGTTCTACATCCACTTTTCATAGACCTCTTAAATGAAAATAGGGTCTTGTGGCACCATTCGTCCTAACAGAATCGGTTTCCCCCTCAGGAGATCAGATCCTCAAAAAGTTACACAGCTGAACCATCGAGAGCATTCTGACCAGTTGCATCGCCGCCTGGTATGGCAACTGCTCGGCATCTGACGTAAGGCGCTACAGAGGGTAGTGCGTACGGCCCAGCACTGGGGCCAAGCTTCCTGCCATCCAGGACCTATATACTAGGCGGTGTCAGAGGAAAGCCCCAAAAAATTGTCAAAGACTGGAGTCACCCAAGTCAGACAGTTCTCTCTGCTACCGCACGGCCAGTGGTACCGGAGTGCCAAGTCTAGGACCAAAAGGCTCCTTAACAGCTTCTACCCCCAAGCCATAAGACTGTTGAACAATTAATCAAATGGCCACCCGGACTATTTACATTGACTGACCCCCCCCCATGATGATTGATGCTCGGCTGCAGATAGACACATTTAAATAATCTCGCTCTGTTGTCCATAATAATCTCATGTAGGCTATACCCGCACTGTGTCTGCCAGCTGTTAGCTAGAGCGCATGTGCCAATACCAGAGTGGGCACATTCACTATGTAAACACATTTTTTTTGTGACAAAACCATCAGTAGAGTTGTAAATGCGATGGAAACCCATTAAACTCGTATTTTTTATTCGGTACATGAATTTAACTGCAAAAGTAACTTATCTACGTCATCACACACAGACCAAGTCAATTTGATGGAGAAACATGTCTGGTGGGAAAATGTGCATATTTTATTTATGCGTATTTTAGAATATTCGCATGAAAATGTCACCAATTCGATGGAAACCTAGCTAATGCAAAATATTTATCTAAAAAAAAGACATACCACATTGACGGGTCTGCAGTGGAGCAGGTCGACAGCTTCAAGTTCCTCGGTGTCCAAATCACAAAATACTTTAAATGGTCGAAACACACATGCAGCAGCACCTCTTCCCCCTCAGGAGGTTGAAAAAGTTTGGCATTGGCCCTCAAAGTTCTACAGCTGCACCATTGAGAGCATTTTGACTGGCTGCATCACTGCCTGGTATGGCACGCCCTCGATTGCAGGGTGGTGCAGACAGCCCAGTACATCACTGAGGCTGAGCTCCCTGCAATCCAGGACTTCTACACTACATTTCCAAAAGTATGTGGACACCTGCTCTTCGACCATCTCATTACAAAACCATGGGCATTAATATGAAGTTGGTCCCCCCTTTGCTGCTATAACAGCCTCCACTCTTCTGGGAAGGCTTTCCACTAGATTTTGGAGCATTGCAGCGGGGACTTGCTTCTATTCAGCCACAAACATTTGAGGTCGGGCACTGTTATTGGGCGATTAGACCTGGCTCGCAGTCAGCGTTCCAATTCATCCCAAATGGTGTTAGATGGGGTTGAGGTCAGGGCTCTGTGCATGCCAGTCAAGTTCCTCCACACGGATCTCCAAAAACCATTTCTGTATGGACCTCGCTTTGTGCACAGGAGTATTGTCATGCTGAAACAGGAAAGGGCCTTCCCCAAACTGTTGCCACAAAGTTGGAAGCACGGAATCGTCTAGAATGTTATTGTATGCTGTAGCGTTATTGGAACTAAGGGGCCTAGCCCGAACAATGAAAAAACAGCCCCAGACCATTATTCCTCCTCCACCAAACATTAAAGTTGGCACTATGCATTCGGGCAGGTAGCGTTCTCCTGGCATCAGCCAAACCCAGATTTGTTCGTCGGACTGCCAGATGGTGAAGCGTGATTCATCACTCCAGAGAACTCATTTCCACTGCTGCAGAGTCCAATGGCAGCAAGCTTTAAACCACTCCAGCCGACGCTTGGCATTCCGCATGGTGATCTTAGGCTTGTGTGCGGCTGCTCGGCCATGGAAACCCATTTCATCAAGCTCCCGACGAACAGTTCTTGTGCGGACGTTGCTTCCAGTGGCAGTTTGGAACTCGGTAGTGAGTGTTACAACCGAGGACAGGTGATTTTTACACGTTACGCGCTTCAGCACTCGGCGGTCCCATTCTGTCAGCTGGTGTGGCCTACCACTTCGCGGCTGAGCCATTGTTGCTCCTAGACGTTTCTACTTAACAATAACAGCACTTACAGTTGACCGAGGCAGCTCTAGCAGGGCAGAAATTTGACGAACTGACTTGTTGGATAGGTGGCATCCTATGACGGTGCCACGTTGAAATTCACTGAGCTCTTCAGTACGGGCCATTCTACTGCATGGCTGTGTGTTCAATTTTATACATCTGTCAGCAACGGGTATGGCTGAAATAGCCGAATCCACAAATTTGAAGAGGTGTCCACATACTTGCATAGTTTCACCATCATTGTAAAGGCCTCGTTATTTTGCTGCTTTGACAGTCATTTCTGAAGAGTATTATTTATATTCATGTGATTAGTGATGCATTTACGTTTGTCCCTCATTTTAAGGCCAACCCTGTTATGGAAACAATTTACCCCTTTAAAATAATGGACGCCATTCCACCAAGTTAAATGATTCACAGCAGGTGACATCATTTGGGTCCTCTGAACAGCATGGTGGAAAAGGAAGTAAGTATTCTCTTTCTTTTTGGTGTATTTATAATTGTTTTAGCTTTGACTGAGGTGGTCGAGCTCAACATTTTAATTTGATTTTGACTTTCATTATGTGTGGAACATATGTATAATTCCCAATTCCATGAACACCATGTGGTCCCATGCTTTTCACCACATGAGGAGTAATGGCCGATCTTCACCTAAAACCTCAACCCTGTTATCATCAACCCTGTCAGAGGCCCAATGGTAAGGTTATCTGTTTTATATTATATGTGAGTTTATTTGTACAAGGAATACTTGATCCATGACAAAATGTTGGATTTATCTCAAACATGCTTTTAATAATAGTTAGCCGAGTGGCGCAGTGGTCTAAGGCACTGCATCGCAGTGCTAGCTGTGCCACTAGAGATCCTGGTTCGAATCCAGGCTCTGTCGTAGCCGGCCGTGACCGGGAGACCCATGGGGCGGCGCACAATTGGCCCAGCGTCGTCTAGGGGAGGGAATGGCCGGCAGGGGATGTAGCTCAGTTCGTAGAGCATGGCGTTTGCAACGCCAGGGTTGTGGGTTCGATTCCCACGGGGGGTATGAAAATAAATAAATAAAGTAATCTATGCACTAACTGTAAGTCGCTCTGGATAAGAGCGTCTGCTAAATGACTAAAATGTTAATGTAAAATGTTAGGCAGTTCCATAAGTGTCCCATAATAGGGATAACAGACAGCGTGGTACAAGGGCAGATAAAAAGCTCTTAGTTCATAGGTTTTTCATGCCTGAGATGGTAAAAGGTATTATTCCGTAGGCTAAACATATCCTCAATGCAATTTAATGTTGAAAGAACAGATCTTTTTAAGTTCATTTCTTAAATTTGCATGTCCAAAAGAACAGCCCACATACTACATCAGGCTTGTATCATTTTATCATTCAGGAGAGAGCCAATAGAAATAGGGGAAAGCTCCTCAGACCACGGCAATTTGACAGTTTCCCAAAAGTTCCATACCTGAATACACTCATGTAAATCTATTTCTATGAGAGAGCCTACCTAATGCAAAATGTATGCACGAGACTTTAGCTGAGTCATTCAAGAGAGAACCTCACCTCATGCAGTAGTTTCTCCACTTTCTCCTGCAGCTCCATAAAGTAGCGCGAGGTGACCAGGCCCATCTGGGACTTGTCCAGGCAGTCTCTGGCCAGCTCCACTAGCTGGTGCTGGATGAAGCCCAACACGCCGTCGGCCAGAGGCAGAGTGCTGTCTGGGGAGCAGTCAGCGAGGATGTCCAGCAGCCGCCCCTCCATCTGGGCTGTGGCCTAGAGATCACATCAAATGTTACGATAAACTTGAACGTGTGTGTCACCAACACAATGCATGTCAATGCACTTCATAGACAATTAAAAAGCAGATAAAAGTTAAATATAAAAGTAGACACTGAAAGTATTTTGTGAAGAGGATGAATCTATTGATGTGCTAGAAAAAAAAAGTGTGGCGAGTCAGAAAATAATACCTACCTTGGGAAAGCGCTCTTTGTAAACGTGATTCATCATTACAATCTCATTATCAAAGGTGCCACATGTCCGACCAGGACTGGAGGAAGAAAAAAAGAAAATAATCACTCAATTTCTTCATTATAGCACAAATTATCTTTCTAATGCACATTGTGCTACGATTATTAGCAATTTTACAGTTGACTAGTAGTTCAACTGTAAGCAGAGAAAACATGTATCAAATGCTACTTATGGCAACATTTAGTTCAAACAGTTATGTAGTCATGACCACACTTGTTGTCTTGACTTGGGCTCAATTACATGGGTGTCCAAGATTGTGGGGCTCACAGCACCAGCACCAGCCCAACATCAACATACTGTATGTTTAAATGGCATGTTTTTGTAGTAAAAAAGATAAAGAAATAAGTGTTTCCAATGACATCAACCAATTAGTAGACAATGCACAATTGGTCAAAATCACAGGATGCACACCGATGCCATTGGAAACACTTACAGTTGAAGTCGGAAGTTTACATACACTTAGGTTGGAGTCATTAAAACTCGTTTTTCAACCACTCCACATTTCTTTTTAACAAACTATAGTTTTGGCAAGTCGGTTAGGACATCTACTTTGTGCATGACAAGTAATTGTTTACAGACAGATTGTTTCACTTATAATTCACTGTATCACAATTCCAGTGGGTCAGAAGTTTACGTACACCAAGTTGACTGTGCCTTTAAACAGCTTGGAAAATTCCAGAAAATGATGTTATGGCTTTAGACGCTTCTGATAGGCTAATTGACATCATTTGAGTCAATTGGAGGTGTACCTGTGGATGTATTTCAAGGCCTACCTTCAAACTCAGTGCCTCTTTGCTTGACATCATGGGAAAATCAAAAGAAATTAGCCAAGACCTCAGAAACATTTTTGTAGACCTCCACAAGTCTGGTTCATCCTTGGGAGCAATTTTCAAACGCCTGAAGGTACCACGTTCATCTGTACAAACAATAGTATGCAAGTATAAACACCATGGGACCACGCAGCCGTCATACGGCTCAGGAAGGAGACGCGTTCTGTCTCCTAGAGATGAACGTACTTTGGAATCAATCTCAGAACAACAGCAAAGGACCTTGTGAAGATGCTGGAGGAAACAGGTACAAAAGTATCTATATCCACAGTAAAACGAGTCCTATATTGACATAACATGAAAGGCCGCTCAGCAAGGAAGAAGCCACTGCTCCAAAACCACCATAAAAAAGCCAGACTACGGTTTGCAACTGCACATGGGGACAAAGATCGTATTTTTTGGAGAAATTTCCTCTGGTCTGATGAAACAAAAATAGAACTGTTTGGCCATAATGACCATCGTTATGTTTGGAGGAAAAACGGGGTGGCTTGCAAGCCAAAGAACAACATCCCATCCGTGAAGCACAGGGGTGACCGCATCATGCTGTGGGGGTGCTTTTCTGCAGGAGGGACTGGTGCACTTCACAAAATAGATGGCATCATGAGGAAGGAAAATTATGTGGATATATTGAAGCAACATCTCAAGACATCAGTCAGGAAGTTAAAGCTTGGTCGCAAATGGGTCTTCCAAATGGACAATGACCCCAAACATACTTCCAAAGTAGTGGCAAAATGGCTTAAGGACAACAAAGTCACGGTATTGGAGTGGCCATCACAAAGCACTGACCTCAATCCTATAGAAAAAGTGTGGGCAGAACTGAAAAGGCGGGTGCGAGCAAGGAGGCCTACAAACCGGACTCAGTTACACCAGCGCTGTCAGGAGGAATGGGCAAAAATTCACCCAACATATTGTGGGAAGCTTGTGGAAGGCTACCCGAAACATTTGACCCAAGTTAAACAATTTAAAGGCAATGCTACCAAATACTAATTGAGTGTATGTCAACTTCTGACCCACTGGGAATGTGATTAAAGAAATAAAAGCTGAAATAAATCATTCTCTCTACTATTATTCTGACATTTCACATTCTTAAAATAAAGTGGTGATCCTAACTGACCTAAGACGGGGCATTTTTACTAGGATTAAATGTCAGGAATTGTGAAAAACTGAGTTTAAATGTATTTGGCTAAGGTGTATGTAAACCTCCGACTTCAACTGTATCTTCCTCCATCTTTTTTACTACAGAACATAAACGCACTATTTTCACATACAGTGCATTGGGAAAGTATTCAGACTCCTTATTCTAAAATGGATTAAATAAACAATTCCTCATCAATCTACACACAGTACCCCATGACAAAGCGAAAACAGGCAAAAAAATACAATATTAGAAATACCTTACTTACACAAGTATTCAGACCCTTTGCTATGAGACTCGAAATTGAGCTCAGGTGCATCCTGTTTCCATTGATCATCCTTGATGTTTCAAAGGTTCACCTTCCAACAGGACAATGACCCTAAGCACACAGCCAAGACTACGCAGGAGTGGCTTTGGGACAAGTCTCTGAATGTCCTTGAGTGGCCCAGCCAGAGGCCGGACTTGAACCCGATCGAACATCTCTGGAGAGACCTGAAAATAGCTGTGCAGTGACGCTCCCCATCCAACCTGAGAGAGTTTGAGAGGATCTGCAGAGAGGAATGGGAGAAACTCCCAAATACAGGTGTGCCAAGCTTGTAGCATCATACCCAAGAAGACTCGAGGCTGTAATCGTTGCCAAAGGTGCTTCAACAAAGTACTGAGTAAAGGGTCTGAATACTTATGTAAATGTAATACGTTTTTTCTTTGTAATAAATTAGCTAAAATTTCTAAAAACCTTTTTTTGCTTTGTCATTATGGGGTATTGTGTGTGGATTGATGAAGGGGGAAAAAACTATTAAATCCATTTAAGAATAAGGCTGTAGCGTAACAAAATGTGGGAAAAGTCAAGGGGTCTGAATAGTTTCCGAACGCACTGTATGTTGATGTTGGGGTGGTGATGAATATGAAGTTGAATTTTTTTTTAAAGTTTCCCCTTTAATAAATCGGGGAAGTTGCATCAGTTAAAAATAGTACGGTTGTGGGGATCCCCATAACTGTAAAATATATCAACATTTGTCCAGAGCACCATTTCTAGGGCACCCCACAGAGTAACTGTTTAATACAATCCCTTGTCATGTCTGAACTCAATCTGAACTTCATTACAAAATGGACTTAATTCTGTTGCATAATGATTTGACCATCCTAATCTCTTTTGGCATTTTCTCTCTGGCCGACTTGGTCTTCTTAAAGTGGTTGAAAGAGGAGAAGGATAACTGACTGACTCGTTTTGCTTTTTCCTATTCTAAATTAAGAAAATAAACACTGATGCAAGCAGAGCCTGGATGGCTGGATGTAGTCACCAATCTCAGTATTCAATAGCTTTATGCATAGCAGATGCAAAAGCCACCTCTGTTCATGGGTACGAACCTAAACCAATGTGAAAGAATCGTGAATGAGATAAGCAAGTCACTAAGCAAATCATGACAATCTCAGTTACCCAAAAGTAAAATTCTCGCAAAAGTTTGTCATTTCTTCTTTTACATCTTGGGGGAATGCCGTTAACAATTGTGATTACCTTCGTGCAAAGGAAAGAAGCGAAGTCTCCTCCCTCGCAAATGGAAACTCTCAGCCAATCCACTCCCTTCCACTAATTTCACACGTGTTTTCATGAATTTTTTACGATACAGCCAATTTTGATTTTGTGGCTGTGGAATCTAGTGGAAACTGTTTATCATCCGAACACGGGCTTGAAAATCACCGCACCAGTTTAAGCACCGCCTTGGCCCAATCTTGATTCGTCCAAATAAGCAAAGATGAAAACCCAAAACCAGGAACTACTGCTGCTCGTAATCACATAATTCTATGTGAGCCTTGACAGATTGGCTATCTATTTGCAAGGGCTGGGAATTGCCAGGGACCTCACAATACGATATTATCCCGATACTTAGGTGCCGATACGATATTCAATACACAGATGATATATACAGTCGTGGTCAAAGGTTGAGAATGACACAAGTATTGGTCTTCAAAGTTTGCTGCTTCAGTGTTTTTAGATATTTTTGTCAGATGTTACTATGGTATACTGAAGTATAATTACAAGCATTCCATAAGTGTCAAAGGCTTTTATTGACAATTACATTAAGTTTATGCAAAGAGTCAATATTTGCAGTGTTGACCCTTCTTTTTCAAGACCTCTGCAATCCGCCCTGGCATGCTGTTAATTAACTTCTGGGCCGCAGCCCATTCTTGCATAATCAATGCTTGGAGTTTGTCAGAATTTGTGGGTTTTTGTTTGTCCACCCGCCTCTTGAGGATTGACCACAAGTTCTCAATGGGATTAAGGTCTGGGGAGTTTCCTGGCCATGGACCCATCATTTCGATGTTTTGTTCCCCGAGCCACTTCGTTATCACTTTTGCCTTATGACAAGGTGCTCCATCATGCTGGAAAAGACATTGTTCGTCATCAAACTGTTCTTGGATGGTTGGGAGAAGTTGCTCTCGGAGGATGTGTTGGTACCATTCTTTATTCATGGCTATGTTCATAGGCAAAATTGTGAGTGAGCCCACTCCCTTGGCTGAGAAGCAACCCCACACATGAATGGTCTCAGGATGCTTTACTGTTGGCATGACACAGGACTGATGGTAGCGCTCACCTTGTCTTCTCTGGAAAAGCTTTTTTCCCGGATGCCCCAAACAATCGGAAAGGGGATTCATCAGAGAAAAAACTTTACCCCAGTCCTCAGCAGTCCAATCTACCTTTTGCAGAATATCAGTCTGTCCCCGATGTTTTTCCTGGAGAGAAGTGGCTTCCTCGCTGCCCTTCTTGACACCAGGCCATCCTCCAAAAGTATTTGCCTCACTGTGCGTGCAGATGCACTCACACCTGCCTGCTGCCATTCCTGGGGAAGCTCTGTACTGGTGGTGCCCCGATCCCGCAGCTGAATCAACTTTAGGAGACGGTCCTGGCGCTTGCTGGACTTTCTTGGGCGCTCTGAAGCCTTCTTCACAACAATTGAACCTCTCTCCTTGAAGGTCTTAATGATCCAATAAATGGTTGATTTAGGTGCAATCTTACTAGCAGCAATATCCTTGCCTGTGAAGCCCTTTTTGTGCAAAGCAATGATGACGGCACGTGTTCCCTTGCAGGTAACCATGGTTTCAAGCACCACCCTCCTTTTAAAGCTTCCAGTCTGTTATTCTAACTCAATCAGCATGACAGGGTGATCTCCAGCCTTGTCCTCGTCAACACTCTCACCTGTGCTAACGAGAGAATCACTGACATGATGTCAGCTGGTCCTTTTGTGGCAGGGCTGAAATGTTTTTGGGGGGATTAAGTTCATTTTCATGGCAAAGAGGGACTTTGCAATTAATTGCAATTCATCTGATCACTCTTCATAACATTCTGGAGTATATGCAAATTGCCATCATAAAAACTGAGACAGCAGACTGTGAAAATTAATATTTGTATCATTCTCAAAACTTTTGACCACGACTGTATATATATTTATTTTATATATATATATTTTTGTTGGTATTTTACCCCCTTTTTCTCCCCAATTTCGTGGTATCCAATTGGTAGTAAGTCTTGTCCCATCGCTACAACTCCCGTATGGACACGGGAGAGGCAAAGATCGAGAGTCGTGCGTCCTCCAAAACACAACCCAACCTAGCCGCACTGCTTCTTGACACAGTGCCCGCTTAACCTGGAAGCCAGCCGCACCAATGTGCTGGAGGAAACACCGTACACCTGGCGACTGAGTCAGCGTGCACTTCCCGGGCCCGCCAAAGAAGTCGTTAGTGCGCGATGGGACAAGGACATCCCTGCCGGCCAAACCCTCCCCTGGATGGCGCTGGGCCAATTGTGTGCCGCCCCATGGGTCTCCCGGTCGCGGCCGGCTGCGACAGAGCCTGGAATCGAACCAGGATCTCTAGCGGCAAAGTTAGCACTGCGATGCAGTACCTTAGACCACTGCGCCACTCGGGAGGCCGATACACCGATTTTATGATTTGACGTTCCAAACCCTGATAACGCGCACAACTTTGGCCGACATATCAAATTGTGTGGGGAATATGTAGTTTGGAGAGCGTTTGCACCTTGGGAAGATGTCAGCGAGACAGAATAGAGTCGTGATGTCTGGCCAACATACAGTATAAACAATGTAGAACTTAGAATGTAGGCATTCTAAATACATCTGCAAGACGTCTTGCCAATGAACAAACGCTGTCTAAACTGCATCTTCCCAATGTATCCTGTATACATCTTCCCTACGCTGGGCAGACGTATGTGTGCTATCTGGGAACATATTGCTCACTATATGTCTGCTGCCACTCCAATTTGCATACCGCCCCAACAGATCCACAGATGACGCAATCTCTATTGCACTCCACACTGCCCTTTCCCACCTGGACAAAAGCAACACTCCTACACCATCATTAAGTTTGCCGACGACACAACAGTGGTAGGCCTGATCACCGACAACGTTGAGACAGCCTATAGGGAGGAGGTCAGAGACCTGGCAGTGTGGTGCCTGGACAACAACCTCTCCCTCAACGTGATCAAGACAAAGGAGATGATCGTGGACTACAGGAAAAGGAGGGCCGAGCATGCCCCCATTCTCATCGACGGGGCTGTAGTGGAGCAGGTTGAGAGCTTCAAGTCCACATCACCAACAAACTATTTTGGTCCAAACACACCAAGACAGCCATTCCCCCTCAGGAGACTGAAAAGATTTGGCATGGGTCCTCAGATCCTCAAAAAGTTCCACAGCTGCACCATCGAGAGTATCTTGACCGGTTGAATCACCGCCTGGTATGGCACCTGCTCGGCCTCCGACAGCAAGGCGCTACAGAGGGTAGTGCGTACGGCCCAGTACATCACTGGGGCCAAGCTTCATGCCATCCAGGACCTCTATACCAGGCGGTGTCAGAGGAAGGCCCTAAAAATTGCCAAAGACTCCAGCCACCCTAGTCGGACTGTTCTCTCTGCTACCGCACGGCAAGAGGTACCGGAGCGCCAAGTCTAGGTCCAAAAGGCTTCTTAACAGCTTCTACCCCCAAGCCATAAGACTGCTGAACAGCTAATCAAATAGCTACCCGGACAATTTGCATTTACACCCCCCCCCCCCCCCCCCGTTTTTTCCGCTGCTGCTACTCGCTGTTTACTATCTATGCATAGTCACTTTACCCCTACCTACATGTACATATTACCTTGACTAACCTGTACCCCCGCACATTGACTCAGTACCGGTACCCCCTGTATATAGCCTCGTTATTGTTATTTTATTGTTGCTCTTATTTTTATTTATTTAGTAAATATTTTCATAACTGCATTGTTGGTTAAGGGCTTGTAAGTAAGCATTTCACCGTAAGGTCTACACCTGTTGTATTTGGCGCATGTGACGAATAACATTTGATTTGCAAACACAAGCGAGAGCATGAGAAAATAAAAAAAGTGGCTCAATATTTAAAAAGAAGATGGCGAACAAGTTATAGGACGAACAATGACGGAGTTTTGGCGCAGGTACAGCTGACTAGCGCTAGCTAACGCTACCTAGAAAAAACACACTAATTCCTATAATTTAGTGTTAAATAACACTAATGTGAGAACAATACTTTTGTTTCATTTTGTCGTTATAAAAAGGTTGGTAGCAACGTGAAAATCGTTGTGGAAATCTGTTGCAGCTAAACTCCACTACAAAACCCACAATGCAATGCTTTCTCTTTAGGTTGGCTTGCTAGCTAGCTAGCTAGCTAGCTATCAAGCAAACGTAGCTACATTTACATTTTAGTCATTTAGCAGATGCTCTTATCCAGTGCGACTTACAGTTAGTGAGTGCATACATTATTTTTTTATTTTTTCATACTGGCCCCCCGTGGGAATCGAACCCACAACCCTGGCGTTGCAAACGCCATGCTCTACCAACTGAGCTACATCCCTGCCGGCCATTCCCTCCCCTACCCTACCCTGGACAACGCTGGGCCAATTGTGTGCCGCCCCATGGGTCTCCCGGTCGCAGCCGGCTATGACAGAGCCTGGACACAATAGTACCAAAGTCAATATCAACATGTGAAGTAGCTAGTTATATGATCAATGGCTCATTCAAGAGAAGACAATCTCCTGCGTTATGACATCGGACAGTATTGAAATCTGACATGCATGATAGACGTTTTCGATCTAAAAGTTGTATTCTTATTCATTTCCCATGTAGTTTATCCCAATGCTACATCAAACTGGCCGACTTTCTGCCTGCTTGAACGGCAATAGCTCAGATACACATGAAAACATGAAATGAGGGATGCGCAAAAACAATATAACATTCAAAATGGGTGAATCGAAGTAAGCATTTCACAGTAAAGTCTACACCTGTTGTATTCGGCGCATGTGACCAATACAATTTTATTTTATTTTGAATCTTTCCTTTAACACTTCAACTGTTGTGCAGATGAATAAATGCAAACTGTAAGTGTGTTGGTGGTCTGATTGGTGGTGTGCCTACCTAAGACTGCGGGAGCGGAGCCTCACAAGGGATGAGGGCTGCCCTTCCTCGTCCGCCACACTCTCCGTGCTCCGGAAGTGTTTAAACAGGAAATGAAGCTCATCTGCCGTGGGCTGGAAGGGCAGCTGGTGCAAGAGCTCCTGGGAGGAGGACGACGACTGGGGGAGGAGGTAGAGCGAAAGAGAGAGGGGGGAAGAAAAAGAGAGATCAGTATGTGTTCTAACAAAGTTTTTTTTTTTCCATAACATGGGGCCCTGAGGCCTTGATACACCAACAACAAGCTAGAGTTCCTGTAAATGTGTACATGCAATCAAATCAACGCCCTTTGTGAACTCATTATCTATGTTGATTTTTAAAAAAGTGCTGACAAAACAGTGTTTTCAGGTTAGGTCAGCTCTGAAGATAAATGAGATCATGGCTGAAAATAGTAGGCTATAACATCGCCTTGCCACGTATTAGAAGACGATGCATAATGCTTAGTAGCTGAATTGTCTGATGTTTCTATAGAGCCAACTAAATGTCAAGCTAAATTGGATTTCGTGGAACTGTGCAATAAGCGCACGACATCCTGCATCCAGTTTGGTCTTTAAAAAAGGATTTGGTGAGCTTTCAGTGTGTCACCAGAACCAGTATTGGTTTCCCCAGTAGCCCGAGGCACAGTTGGCAGTGTGTATTTTCATTTAAAACCAAATGTGCGACACGCAGACAGTGGAATTTATTAGCGTCCAGAAGCTTGTGTTTCATTGAAGGAGGCGAGGATCATCTGACCTTTTCTCAGAGGAGGAAACCGGAGAGGCGTCCGTGCCTAGCGCTACATAATGAGTTAACTGACAACGGGCAGTGAATGGGGTATTGTGTGGGAGGGGAGGGACTGACCTCACTGCCTAAGCCATGCATTTAGCCATCGAAAATCACAGCCCAACCATAGGGGCCTGGATAGAATGGGTCTTGTTTGTCCGCCTGCTGGGGTGTCTTTCGACAACTCCAAAATAAGGAAACAATGCCGCAAGACACAGACACAGACACAGCTGACAGATTTAGTTGCCCTTGGTTTTACTTTCTGTATAATAATACAGTGCAGTACGAGGTATTGTGCAATGTCATCCAGTACTCGTCTGGCTGGTGATGCCGTTTTTCACAGGTCTAGGGTTTATTATTAACCTGAGTTTCCACAATAGGTGATAAATTATCTTAGGCTGGGGAAAATATAGCTAGGAAAAAGGGTCCCGCCACACTGAAATGGTGCTGGGAGACAAGGTTATTATAGTAAACCAAAACTAGTCATGAAAAAACGATTTAGTAAACTGAAATAAAATAATTAACAAACCTGTATGAAAAACTAAAACTATACGGAAACTTATCTTTGACTCCAAAACGAACTAAAATTAAATAAAAACCATCATGAATTATATTCAGTTGTATTGTTTTTTCAAAACTTTGGGCAAAAAAAATGTAATGGGGTTTTCAAGCTTTTTGGAGGATCTGAATCTGGTGGGTAAATGCAGTCAGAAAATGGCAATTTCAAGCTTTTCATACCTAGCTTGTGCATCACTATCAACAGGTAGCTAACTTGATTCTTGTTACATGTACTATTAAAATTTGAAAAGGATTGGATTGATATAAACACATTTTTTTGCACTAGTCTCAGCGCTATTCCTATTCAATCTAAGTCACATTGAAATTGACTTTATAATTTTATAATAAAATTAAGACTTTACTAAGAATTTATATATAATTGTTTTTACAATTAAAATGGAATAAAAACTAGCAAATCAGGTCTGAAAACTAACTGAACTAAACGGAATTTCTAATTACATTTTACATTGACATTTTAGTCATTTAGCAGACGCTCTTATCCAGAGCGACTTACAGTTAGTGAGTGCATACATTATTTTATATATTTTTTCCATATTTGCCCCCCGTGGGAATCGAACCCACAACCCTGGCGTTGCAAACGCCATGCTCTACCAACTGAGCTACATCCCTGCCGGCCATTCCCTCCCCTACCCTGGACGACGCTGGGCCAATTGTGCGCCGCCCCATGGGTCTCCCGGTCGCGGCCGGGATAATTAAAAACGAATGACAATAAAAACGAATATAAAAATACCAAACTATAATAACCTTGGGAGAAATTATGTTAAGCAGTGCAAAGCAAACAACCAATGCCCTGAGCAACTGAAAAGATAAGTGAGGATTTCACTTCAAATTAGGTCATTTTGGGCTTTTAATCATGGGGGTTAATGAATAAATCATTGTACAAAAACTACAAAGTAGTCATTTTCCTAAGTTCTGCTCTACCATACCTCCCTCAAGCCAAAACACTGACAAAAAGCTTAAGATGGATGAGAAGGGCTTGCGAGGCGTTTCATCAGTATTACTGTTCTCCCATGAGGTGACTCATGTGTTCTGCTCTTACAACCCTGTTCCACAGCTGGTTTACATAATTCACAGTTGTGCTGAAAGAACACCATGGACACTCAGCTGTTTATAGGGGACACTGCCAACGGACAATATAGAGATGAACGTTAATCCCATTCTGTGGTGAACCATTACAGCCATGTCAAGGCCAGGAGACTTACATCCCGGAACAAGGACAAGGCACACACACAGAATATCCCGGACAAGCGCCTAAAACAGAACATGCAACACGAACCCCCAAAAGGACACAGAGAAAATGAAATTTTTTGCATGTGCCTCGTCTACTCTGGTTCCTGTTTAGCGGTCTTCTACTATATAAAATGTCTTACCTGGACTTACTTTCTATTACTAACCTTAAATACTGAACTTAACAGCTACATGTCATATGGGTTTACTGTACAAGGTGGTGTTGCTCCATAGACATTTGATTGACAGTTATAGAGTATTGACGACAAGGCAAAACGCTCCCTTGCTGGTCTTTGAGGACGAAGGGCTTACATATTTAATGAGGAAGAGAGGGACGACTTACAGACACTGAGGAGCTGGGGGGGTTGGTGCCATAGCCTGACGAGGGGACGGAGGCCACAGACCATCTTCGCCCATCCGCTCTGGAAAGACATGGCACTTGTGAGCGTTTAAATTTCTTACATATCCTCTTGAGAGTTAAATCATGAAGCACTACCAAAGGCTGTTTAATATGTTTAAATGAAGTATAATTTAATTGACATAAGAAGAAAAAAGGATACAATGTTTTCCTACCTTTCAGTGCGGGCCAGGTGGCTGGTTCATCACATTATGAGACAGAGAGAGAGACCGAGACGCACAGACAGACAGAAAACAAACAGTCAGTGACACAGTGAAGCTGTCAGAAGCTCACAGACTGGAGTCAAGGTTCTGAACACCTGCCGAGCTGATATCAGACCACAATGCCATGAACACATTGGCACCTGCCTAATGAGTCATTTCACACACACACACACACACACACACACACACACACACACTTCACTACCCTTCAGCTCAACCACTTTGGTTTACATCCTAGCCAAATCTCCCACCTCACCACAACTTCCTCATTTACTAAATGTGACACTCCATGTTGACAGACATGTCACTTTGGGGCCCATCCCCCCCCCCCCCCCCCCATTTCCCTGACAGGTTTAAGGATGGAGTCGATCCATAATGGCAAGTGTGGCACAATATTCCTCATGTGTCAGGTTAGCGCCCTGTAAAACCAGCTTGACTGACATGTCGACAAATCAGGTCTGACTTAATGAGATTGGGGTTTCTGTGGGTATCAGGGCAAGGATTAGTCGGCTGGAATATGTCTCTTTCGCTTCATATCTCAGATGTATTATTAAACCTTTCCACTCATAGGTCCCATCATCCCGTATACGGGTTGAAAATGGCAGATTTTGTCATTGATATGCGCCTAAATGGGAACGCAGTGGCTGTACAGTAACATGCTATACATGACGTCAGAACTCAGGTTCTCCACTTCACAGCGCTCTATGGGTTTTGATTGACAGCCGTTATAAACTTGAGCACTGCGCGCAACAAAAAGTCCCCCCCCCCCCCCCCCCCCATCCCTCCTGCTAAATTGGGCTACTTTTGCACATTTGTTGTTGTCTGAGTGAGGGAAATGCTGTAAATCGAGAGTCGTCGATGTGTTCTGAAGGATGAGACATTGAGGATTATAATAAATACCACTTTGATGTCATACAAGCAAACCACACACCCAGGAGTCCAAATGTGCACTTCACATTTCCATATTTGAAAACTCATGTAATTTACAGTATCAATGTTTATGATCACTTTGTTTGATCCACAGTTACAAGGATGACCTGCGTTATACCCTGGGTTGTCCTGAACAGAATGAGCCTCTGTCGTATTGTGAAGAAAATTTGCCACAGAACACGCACTTCAATACACTCATGACTCCATTCTATGCGCACCAAAATTACAATCTGTTTGTCTGAAGTGCCTTTTGAAAGCCTAACACCGTACGATCGTATTTTATAACTGAGGTAGCCATGTTGTCAATAGAATAAGCTTTCAAATGATGCCCACCTGATCAAGATTGCGATTTAAATGGAACGTTTTTGGATTGCGTAAACAACAGTAATTGTATATAGGCCATAATTGTGCGATGGTGGGGATGCAAGGCTGTGTTCCAAACACTTCCTCAATGGAAGTTTGGAGGTGTGTGGACACCAGTTAGACCTCCTACTCAAACCCCTGTAATCATTTTTCCTTGTCTTATTTTTTCCCCATAATCTCCAAAGTGTTCTCTTTCAATTGCAACCATGGTCATGCGTATGCGTTCTATAATTATGTTAGAAACATTTCAATTTAGCCCTATCCATATAGGCCAATTTCCACGAGTGTAAGGGGTTAACAATAGTGATATTATTTAATATTAAAAGGTAGGAGAGGAAGGTAAAGGGAGACTGTTTTGATATGCTGATCTTTAATCAATCAATACCCGTGTACAGAGGTTTCCGGGTAAGCCAAAACAATGGGAGAATTGTATTTGATAAGTAGTGTACAGTTGAGTCCCTTCTTGTTTCACACAGGAAAACATTTGCTTTAGTACATTAATCAAAACACACTTTCTTGCAGCACCTGGAAAATGTTTACATAACCTGGGAATTTTCCACCATAACAAAGTTCTGATAACAGCTTTGATTGAATGATACCCATAGCACCCACTTTATTGTGACAGTATTTCTCGCATGGTGTTGTTTCCATGGCCAAATAATTGCATACACAACAGACTGCAATCTATGAGTAGGACAACAACTATCCCAGCACATCACTTTACATAGTGCAGCCACAGCATCTGTCTACATCGGCATCTCGGAAACCTCAGTAAATTTAGCTGTGTCATGTAAGTTAACGCAACCTTGCGCACGGCTAAAAAGTTCCATGTGATTTCCCCCACTTATCTTTAGGGCTTATGGTACACTGATACTGTACCGGAAAAGGCTTTACCTCACCGTCCTCGAGCCTGACTAGGTTGCACTGTTTACCACTGAAGTGGATGCTTGTATCCAGTAGTGGGCTTGCTTACAGTCAATGTGAAGCATGACAGACTCGACATAAGGCTCTGTCTGTATCGCATCATAATGGCAGCCCCAAGTAACGAGTGTGAGCACTGCACAGTGACTCTCCCTTTATTCGCACTGACAAATGCCAAGTCCCATGTCCCGTGAGTGCCCCTAGAGCCATTCGGCTGGATTCGCTCTAAAGCACCGTCCTCCTCATTAATAGAGGTTTTTGATGCATTGCTGTTGTCATGGGAGTGATGGAGGTTACCTACTGTACCAAACCATCTCGTTCCTATACAATTCTGGGAGGATCTATCCTTTTTGACAGGACATGATTTATCATTCATTTCTATTGGGCACCAAATAACCTGAAACACAACCAAAACAAACAGCAAATGAATCCAACAAATTTGTAGAGTCACATGCTTGATGTAGTCATTGTGTGCTATGAATATGGGACCAAATACTTAACTTTGTACTACTTTAATACCCATAAGTGAATTTGTCCCAATACTTTTGGTCCCCTGAAATGGGGGGACTATGTACAAAACGTGCAGTAAATTGTAAACGGTTCACCCTATATGGATGAAAATACCCTCAAATTAAAGCTGACAGTCTGCACATTAACCTCAGTCATTATATCATTTCAAATCCAAAATGCTGGCGTACAGAGCCAAAATAACAAAACATTTGTCAATACTTTTGGAGCTTCAATAATACCGTCAAATTAAAAAGTAAATTGCTTCTATTAAACTGTATTTATTGAAAGGAAGATTGGACTTTTTCTTACCTGCGCGCAAACTGGAAGTTGGCCGAGGCACCGGCAGAGACATTTCTGGAGCTTTCTTGGGGACTACTTCCAGCTGAAACACAACAATCAGACTGTCAGAGTTTTATCACTGGGACATGTTTTTAATAATGAAGAAATAGGGCATGTTGTTATAACTGCAGTTTGCTGTCATTCTTGGGAGCTGATGACGCACAAATAAAAGGACAAGCGACCCTAAATGCAAAGCAAATCAGTCTCAGGTGGAACAGAATTCAATAAACTCAACGCATATTTACAACCATGTGGTCTGGAGAGGACAGGGTTTTTGTGATAGGCCTAACGCACGCTCCCTTGATAAGTCTCGACTCCATCCGTAGCATTAAACTTTTATTAACTGTCTGGCCAACCGGATTTGTTATGATGAAAATAAGCTTGTCTGTCCGCTTGTTACAATGGAAGAGGATAACAAGTCTCAGATTCCCTAAATCCGCCACAGGCTCACAATCAATAACCATGAATGAAACCTTTATCTCTTTCATGTGAAGTATATTTAATCAGTTATTCCCCTAAAGCGACACAAACCCCTCTGGTTTCGCAGTAGGGAGATAGTGATACAGTGAGGGGAAAAAAGTATTTGATCCCCTGCTGATTTTGTACGTTTGCCCACTGACAAACAAAAAATCAGTCTATAATTTTAATGGTAGGTTTATTTGAACAGTGAGACAGAATAACAACAAAAAAATCCAGAAAAACGCATGTCAAAAATGTTATAAATTGATTTGCATTTTAATGAGGGAAATAAGTATTTGACCCCTCTGCAAAACATGACTTAGTACTTGGTAGCAAAACCGTTGTTGGCAATCACAGAGGTCAGATGTTTCTTGTAGTTGGCCACCAGGTTTGCACACATCTCAGGAGGGATTTTGTCCCACTCCACTTCTGCGCAATCTTCTCCAAGTCATTAAGGTTTCGAGGCTGACGTTTGGCAACTCGAACCTTCAGCTCCCTCCACAGATTTTCTATGGGATTAAGGTCTGGAGACTGGCTAGGCCACTCCAGGACCTTAATGTGCTTCTTCTTGAGCCACTCCTTTGTTGCCTTGGCCATGTGTTTTGGGTCATTGTCATGCTGGAATACCCATCCACGACCCATTTTCAATGCCCTGGCTGAGGGAAGGAGGTTCTCACCCAAGATTTAACGGTACATGGCCCCGTCCATCATCCCTTTGATGCGGTGAAGTTGTCCTGTCCCCTTAGCAGAAAAACAACCCCAAAGCATCATGTTTCCACCTCCATGTTTGATGGTGGGGATGGTGTTCTTGGGGTCATAGGCAGCATTCCTCCTCCTCCAAACACGGCGAGTTGAGTTGATGCCAAAGAGCTCGATTTTGGTCTCATCTGACCACAACACTTTCCCCCAGTTCTCCTCTGAATCATTCAGATGTTCATTGGCAAACTTCAGACGGGCATGTATATGTGCTTTCTTGAGCAGGGGGACCTTGCGGGCGCTGCAGGATTTCAGTCCTTCACGGCGTAGTGTGTTACCAATTGTTTTCTTGGTGACTATGGTCCCAGCTGCCTTGACATCATTGACAAAATCCTCCCGTGTAGTTCTGGGCTGATTCCTCACCGTTCTCATGATCATTGCAACTCCAAGAGATGAGATCTTGCATGGAGCCCCAGGCCGAGGGAGATTGACAGTTATTTTGTGTTTCTTCCATTTGCGAATAATCGCACCAACTGTTGTCACCTTCTCACCAAGCTGCTTGGCGATGGTCTTGTAGCCCATTCCAGCCTTGTGTAGGTCTACAATCTTGTCCCTGACATCCTTGGAGAGCTCTTTGGTCTTGGCCATGGTGGAGAGTTTGGAATCTGATTAAATGATTGCTTCTGTGGACAGGTGTCTTTTATACAGGTAACAAGCTGAGATTAGGAGCACTCCCTTTAAGAGTGTGCTCCTAATCTCAGCTCGTTACCTGTATAAAAGACACCTGGGAGCCAGAAATCTTTCTGATTGAGAGGGGGTCAAATACTTATTTCCCTAATTAAAATGCAAATCAATTTATAACATGTTTGACAAGCGTTTTTCTGGATTTTGTTGTTGTTATTCTGTCTCTCACTGTTCAAATAAACCTACCATTAAAATTATAGACTGATCATTTCTTTGTCAGTGGGCAAACGTACAAAATCAGCAGGGGATCAAATACTTTTTCCCCCTCACTGTACATTAACTTCTTCGGAAACTAGAGCTTCAAAACAGAAGCCAAACAGTAATTTGAGCTTCGTCAGCTCAGCTGCTGCATTTTCATTTGTCTGTTTGAGAAAACTCTGAACACATATCATCATGTGGTTAGCTGTGTCTGTGTGCATTGTGCTCTGCTGGCACACTGCACTGGAAAGGTCTGATTGGTCTGCTATCTCTAATGTCACATGCTGATTGGTTTGCTATGTGTTTATCTCATGCTGATTGGTCTGGTATCTCTATCGCATGCTGAGTGCAGTGCAGAGACGGCTGACAACAACAACACCTACCTGTGGCAAGGGGGAGAGGTGAGAGTGGTCGGGAGAGTGTGGGCGAGGTTGTCCCGACTGCCAGACTTCTTCTCTTGTTGTTACGGCAACTGTGTGGAGAAAGGGAGAGAATTGCTTTAAGTGACACATTAAAGTAGTGGAATCTAAACAGTTATATATGATACAGTATGTACATTTCACCACAGGTTTTGAGAACAACTCATGATACAGCAGATTTATCATTCAAATTGTGTTTTGGAAAATAATTTGGCCCTTTTGTTTTTGGCTTAGAATTCTCCATCACAATGTAGGCAGGGCAGTAATTACCATCTAATTTGGTTGAATTGGACAACTTTGATTAACCCAAATTAGTTAGCTCAGCAGTCCATTGGTTAAAAACTCTGTCTATGTTATTAGAGGGCCACAGTGTCTGCAGGGTGTGTCCCCACCAGTCTCCATGGAGATCAGATTCATGCCCTCAACCCTAAAGACATGATCTGGGAGAGATGTTTGTTTAATAGCAGAACTCGACTGAGAATACAAAAGATCCCCTTGTAATAAAATTAAATGTATCTATTAATTCATCAAACTTTGATCTATCCAGGTCAATTGTTTCATAACCGATGTTAATTTGCAAAAACAACCTGCCAAGGTGAAATCAAATCACAACCAAAACGCTCGGAGTCAATAGAAATGGTTTCTGTCTCAGTCTATCAACAAGCTGTATTGCTTGTGCAAAAAATAGCCAGATTTGTCATGAACAAACAGAGATTGTGGTGAATGCTTGGCTGTTGACACTGCTGGTGTTAGCTGTCAGACACACCTTGAGATTTGTCCACGTCCACTGGCAGGATTCTAAAAAACTGTAGTAGGCTATGGCCAAACATGTAGGCCACATATTGACTGGATCGCCAATGTAAGCTACTGTAGTGAAATACCTTTTCTACAAAATGTTTTTTTTAATTATACAAAATGTTTAGGGAAATTTAGAGAGCCAAGAAATATTCAATGCTTACCCTGCTTTTTCTATAAAGTTAATATCACTAAATAGGGAATTCATGTGAATGCCATAAAACTTCAATTAACAGCCAGGGCGTTTATTTGCTTAAAGATGCACTCACTATGCACAAATTGCTCTGCCATTTCCTGGTTGATAAAATTCTAATAGTTCGACTAATTTCAGTTTATGTGACAAAACAAACAAGCAAGTATAGTGTAGAGAATCATTGTACCATCTAAACCACTGTCAAATATATTTTCCATAACCAATGATATTGTATTTTCAGCTGTTTGAAGCTGGTGTACAAAAACGAAACTTAAGCACGGGAAGCATAGAAATAGCGCACATAGAACAGATCTACCGCTTCTTAGACTTGCTTTAATTGAGAATGTCATATCTATAACTCACATTTCTGTTAATTTGGTCAGGTCGCCCCAAAAGTTTTACATATTTCAGCTTTAATGCACACAGCTTTTAGTCATTTGCATAGCTAATTGTTAATTTTTTTATGTAACATCAAACATTAAACCTCGTAAACAATTCATGGTAACCTCGTAAACAATTTATTTAGACCCGCCGTTTATTTGAAACGGGCGTTTATTTGCTGAAATGTGTTCCGTTGCCCAGCTATTAAAAGGGTAAATTATACAGTTTTGCTTTATATTTCAGCTTGGTCTCATACACTAGACGTAACATAATAAAATCTGTATAATATGTTACATTTGGTATGGTTATATAAAGACAGAAGTTTACTTAAGGCAAAAACAAAAAGGTGGGTGGGTGTAGAACACGAACGTCTAGCAACCCAAAGGTTGTGTGTTCGAATCTCATCACGGATAACTTTAGCATTTTAGCAACTACTTAGCATGTTAGCTAACCCTTAAACTAACTCCTAACGCTAACCTTAACCCCTAACCTAGCTAACGTTAGCCACAACAAATTGGGATTCGTAACGTATTGCAAATTCATAAAATATATTACGAAATGGATGATGGACATCCACAAATTAATTCGTAACATATCATACGAATTGTAATTCGTAACATATCATACGAAATGGATGACGACGTCGACAAATTAATATATACCATACCAAACTTAATATATCATATCATTAGTGCTGAGTGATTAGTGCTTTTAGAGGTCAGTTCAGTTTCGGTTCGATTATTAAAAAATTAAATCACAGTTGTCCCTTTCGGTTTCGAATATTTTTTGGGGACATTAAAATGCACTATGCATTATGTGGGATGAATGCTGTAACACTGAATAAAACATTTAATAAAAGACCCATGATGGTGGTGACTGCCCATTACTGCCCATCAGTTATTCACATTATTTTAATAAAAAGTTTGTTTTATTTGATGACTTTATTATTTAATTCCAAGTCATCATCTCTATAGAGCGGTCTGACAAAATTATTTTAGTAGTTCTTCAAAGTAAACAAGGCATACTTTTATGACTGCTGAATAACAACTATCAATCACTTAGATCATGTATTTTCAGGCTCGCAAAGCAACTGCTTTCTATCCCTCTCGATCGCGCGTTCGCTCTTCTCTCAGTATCCATGTCTGCCCCGCACAGACCGGACAAGTTTAAGTGGGCACGCAATGGATTATGGTCATTGTAGTTAAATACCATGTTTTCTGTGCTAAATTATGTAGAATATTTCCCTGTTGGAAACTACAACTCCCTACTACATCGCACAATTCAGGCTTGATCTGATTTATCTCTACAGAAACTGCACATCAAGCTCACAGAAAAAAACCCTGAAGGAAATGGATTTCAAATAATTTAACTGACGTTGATCAATTAGTTGTTTAAAAAACAAAAACTACTAAATGTTGGTTAAATCGCTCAGCACTACATATACTAATTTGAGTATCCCGGATTCCGTTTACTATGTTACGTCTACCCCTGAGTCCAGGTTGCATATTTAGCTAGACTATAGTATAACCTATACCAGCGGCATTCAACTCTTACCCTACTTGGACTGCAGCCTGCTGGTTTTCTGTTCTACCTGAATTCCACCCACCTGGTGTCCCAGGTCTAAATCTGTCCCTGAATAGAGGGGAACAATTAAAAAAAAGCTGTGGAACTGGCTTCATTGTCAAGAGTTGAGTTTGAGGGACCTATACTGTAATGAACAAGCTGTGAGCCTTCTGCATGAAGAACACTGTGTCCCTATGGACAGCTGCTGCTTCTATAAGACAATACATAGGCAACAATAACACAATAACCGCATTGTCTACAATGGCCACGTTTCTCTATCGGAAAAACAAAACTAGGGCAGATGTAAACCGACAAATACTGTAGTAGAGAACACAACGCGAAAGCAGAGTGAACAACATGAAAGCAAAGGCCAATTTGTGCTATTGTTATGAATGGGAAAATTACTGTTAGAGAAAATCTTCAACAAAAAGCATATTTAATAAGCGACGTCATTTTGGTCTGTTGCCTGGTGATTGCTTTGACTAGCACAATTGAAACGCAATAGGCTAAACTGCGCGGGTCCCATTCATAAGTCTTACACTATCACTGATTAAAATAGTTTGACAAATCGGATGATAGAAGAAAATCAGATTACCTTTTCGATCTTTTCATCATGGCCCCAGTCACAAAACTTGTTTTGTAGCTGGGCAAGACGGTCCAGTAGTAATTCTGATCAGACATGATGCAAGGTGATACTTTAAATAAAATTTGGTAAATGTCCACTATCTCTTGAGAAACATAATTGTTATTTACTCGGAAATGTTGCGGAAAGCCCTCGGAGTCCGAAACCAAAAACTCCGACAATGGTTAGCACTATCTGACTCCATACCCGTGGCAGTTCAGGCAAGAAAGCAACCGTAAATGATGCCGTCATCGCTTTATTTATTCCCTGTGAATTTTCGCGCACTACATTGTCTTTCGCGCACAACATTATCCATATTTCTAAATCTCAAAAACATGTAAACTGATCTAAAAAAAAAAACTTTCCAGCCACAGCTAATAATTGTGCAGTTAATTTTGTCAGCCCATCGGTTGGAGGAGGTATTGCCGCCGATGGGAGGAAGTTGTCATTTGGAGGATTGTTGCGCTCATGTAAAAGTTTGATCATGGGTTTGACATCGATTTGAATGTCATTGACCACGTTTACATGCACACGAATATCCCGTTATTACTCGGGATATTAAAGTGTTCTGTTTTTGAGTTGACGCATAAACATCATCCCGTTTACAATAACCCGAAAAGGCTTGAATCCCGTTTATGAGAAACCCGGATAAAATGCCAGGGACATGCTGATGTTAGAAGGGATACTGTGGCATGTCGACACCGTATCCCCTTTGCTGTTGTTTTTCGCAGTCTGGGCAGGCTCAGTTTCGAATATCATGGGTGTGGTGTGATGATGTTTTCATCTGATTGTCAAACAAATCACCTGCGCAGTTTGATCCACTATAATACTTCCATAATAATATATTTTGCTGATACAGCTTAGGCTACTTTCACCCCTTATTTAGATACGTTTCTGATAATTTCAAACATTAGGTAGTCCATTTGTTTGTCAACTAGGCTATATTTAGATACATGCAGCTTCTATTCTGTCATAACTTGTTGCCCCAGAAGACTAAATAAAGTAGTGTTCACCAGAATAATGTCTTACAGTGAAAGAATGAATCCATTAGTAATCTATACTGAACAAAAATATAAACGTAACATGTAAAGTGTTGGTCCCATGTTTCATGAGCTGAAATTAAAGATCCCAGAAATGTTCCATACGCACAAAAAGCTCGTTACTCTCAAATGTTGTGCACAAATGTGTTTACATCCCTGTTAGTGAGAATTTCTCCTTTGCCAAGATAATCCATCCACCTGACAGGTGTGGCATATCAATAAACTAATTAAACAGCATGAGCATTACACAGGTGCACTTTGTGCTGTGGACAATAAAAGGCCACTCTAAAATGTGCAGTTTTGTCACACAACACAATGCCACAGATGTCTCAAGTTGAGGGAGTGTGCAATTGGCATGCTGACTGCAGGAATGTCCACCAGAGCTGTTGCCAGATAATGTAATGTTCTACCACGTCGTTTTAGAGAATTTGGCAGTACGTCCAACCGGCCTCACAACCGCAGACCACGTGTAACCACACCAGCCCAGAACCTGCACATCCGGCTTCTTCACCTGCGGGATTGTCTATGACCAGCCACCCAGACAGCTGATAAAACTGTGGGTTTGCACAACTGAAAAATGTATGCACAAACTGTCAGAAACAGTCTCGGGGAAGCTCATCTGCGTACTTGTCATTCTTACCAAGGTCTTGCACTGACTGCAGTTCGGCGTCATAACCGACTTCAGTGGGCAAATGCTCACCTTCGATGGCCACTGGCACGCTGGAGAAGTGTGCTCTTCATGAATTAATCCCAGTTTCAACTGTACCAGGCAGATTGCAGACAAGCGTGTATGTCGTTGTGTGGGCGAGTGGTTTGCTGATGTCAACGTTGTGAACAGAGTGCCCCATGGTGGGGTTGTGGTATGGGCAGGCATAAGCTATGGACAATGAACACAATTGCATTTTATTGATAGCAATTTCAATGCACAGAGATACCGTGATGAGATCCTGAGGCCCATTGGCGTGTCATTCATCCGCCACCATCACCTCATGTTTCAGCATGATAACGCACGGCCCCATGTCGCAAGGATTTGTACACAATTCCTGGAAGCTGAACATGTCCCAGTTCTCCCATGGCCTGCATACTCACCAGACACATCATCCATTGAGCAAGTTTGGGATGCTCTGGATCAACGTGTACGACAGCATGTTCCAGTTCCCGCCAATATCCAGCAACTTCGCACAACCATTGAAGAGGAGTGGGACAACATTCCACAGGCCACAATCAACAGCCTGACTCTGTGCGAAGGAGATGTGTCGCGCTGCATGAGGTAAATGACCAGATACTGACTGGTTTTCTGATCCACGCCCCTACCTTTTTTTTTTTAAAGGTATCTGTGACCAACATATGCATATCGGTTTTCCCAGTCATGTGAAATCCATAGATTAGGGCCTAATTAATTTATTTCAATAGGCTGATTTCCTTCTATTAACTCTAATTTAGTAAAATCTTTGAAACTGTTGCATTTATATTTAAGTGAAGTTGTTGCATGTTGTTTCGTTTAGGGACAGGGAAAAAACGCAATAACTCCAAAACAGTGGAAAGATTGGTCCTGTGCAAAATATCAAAATGTCAACAGTTTGACGGGTTTTAAGGAAATGAAAAGCTGAGAAAACGATTAGACACGTTCTGTTCATCTTGGGTGCATATTTTATGTGGTTGAAATACTGTCTGCTTGCATAACAGTGTCAAATAACACGTTACATGCCCATTTGTACATTTGTTGTATCATTTTACTGCAAGAAATGCATAATTCCACAGGAGTTAATATTATATTACGCTACATGTGAGAGGTTATAGGCCTACAGTCAGCGTCCATATTTTAGTTACTATTCCATTTAACCCATATGAACTTAAAAATGAGGAATATTCTGTTTATTCATGGTTACAGGGATACTCGTGAGCGAGATATCAAAGGTGCATATAAACAGCTTATAAGACCTTAAGCGGGATATGAGCTACTATCGGAATACTGTGGGCATGTAAACGTGGTCACTGTAGACCTATGTGGTCATGACTATTTCAAAAAGATTCAGGTAAGTTGATAAAAGATGACCTAGTGCATCCATTAAAGTAGCCTATTTCTTATCATTCCATAATAAATCATTCATCTTCTATAAAAACGCGGGACAGAAATGATCAACAAATAATGTATTTAGCCTATATGTTGAGAAAGACCTGTCAATAAGCAATTCAAATCTATTTTACAAGACTTTCCCATTATAAGCCATTGTGAGTTCAATTCTCCATTCCATACACAAATCACACATATCTATATCTATGCTCCATTCTTTATAACACCCAGGGCCGGCTCCAGGCATAAGCTGTTGCTTAGAGCCCCAGGCCACTAGTGGGCCCACCCCCAAAATAATAATAATAATTTTACAATTTCCTCTGCGCCCCATGGCAAAATGTGTAAAACTGCAGAAAACTTGCTTTATAACTGCAACATGTATCTTATTTTGGGGGGGGGGGACTCAGTCGGGGTCACAACTTACTGTTGAGAGTTGGAATAGTAGAATACACAAGGTGCAAGTTGAACATTTGGTTGTGCATCAGCAATTGTTCTCTTCTTATGTCAGTCACTGACAGTCACTCAATTAGCCATTTCAGCTAACAATTTTAAGATTGGTAAATTAGTCTAGGCAGCGATCTAAACTTGTAGCAATCATGGCCGAATACAGACTAGGCACGCAGGGCACGTGCCCAAGGGCCCTGACCTCCAGGGGGCCCCCCATTTATTTTGTTAGTCACTCTCACTCAGATACCATTAACATGGCATAAGTCATGGCAAAATGTGTAGAATTGCAGGAAATTACCTTTAAAACTCTCCACCCCATGGCAAAATGTCACTCAGGGCCCTCAAAAGGCTAGAGCCGGCCCTGATGACACCTGTTACTGTCTGACTATGTCGATAAGAAGCCCACAACAGAATATATCTGTCTGATTGCACGCCTATGGAATATGCCAGCGCCTCATCTTGGAGCTCTGCAATAGGCTATGACTGCACAATAACATGCCAAGGGTCACTGGGCAAATACACATTTCTAACTGACATATCATTACAAACATGAGTATAAGAGCGTCTGCTAAATGACTAAAAATGTAAATGTAGAATTCAATGCATGATATGCGAAATTATTGATATTGAATCGCATATACAGATTTTATTTCCAGACTGACAAGACCTCAACTCATTGGATGTGCATGCATACTATAAACAATATATGTATAGTCCTTTCATAAAATGTGTGGGTGTACATTTGATTAGATGTATCTATACACTGAGTGTACAAAATATTAGGAACACCTTCCTAATATTGAGTTGCACTCCCTTTTGCCCCCAGAACAGCCTCAATTGGTCAGGGCATGGACTCTACAAGGTGTCAAAAGCGTTCCACAGGGATGCTGCCCATGTTGTGTCAAGTTGGCTGGATGTCCTTTGGGTGGTGGACCATTCTTGATACACACGGGAAACTGTTGAGTGTGGAAAAACCCAGCAGCGTTGCAGTTCTTGACACACTCAAACCGGTGCGCCTGGCACCTACTACCATACCCCGTTCAAAGGCACTTAAATCGTTTTTTTTTATTATTATTACTTTTGACCCCTTTTCTCCACAATTTTGTGATATCCGTACGGACTCGGGAGAGGCAAAGGTCGAGAGCCATGCGTCCTTCGAAACACGACCCTGCCAAGCAGCACTGCTTCTTGACACACTGCTCGCTTAACCCAGAAACCAGCCGCACCAATGTGTCGGAGGAAACGCCGTACAACTGGTGACCTTGTCAGCGTGCATTCGCCCGGCCCGCCACAGGAGTCGCTAAAGCACGATGGGACAAGGACATCCCGGCCGGCCAAACCCTCCCCTAACCCGGACGATGCTGGGCCAATTGTGCGCCGCCTCATGGGTCTCCCGGTCGCGGCCAACTGCGACAGGAGCCAGGGTTCAAATCCTTAGACCTGCCGGAGGCCCCGGCACTTAAATATTTTGTCTTGCCCATTCACCCCCTGAATGGCA